GCTGAATGTGCACAACTTAAATGCGTGTAAGTAGCGAGTTACCTGTAATGATTAGAAGTCTGATCACATGTTGTTGTCGTCCTTGGCATCTGTCTGTCTTGAGAGACAATGGAGTGCACCCTATGGGGGTGAAGTCAAACTGCTGGAGAATCACAGCGCCTGCTGTGGCAGCAGAGACCGGTAACTCATCACTGCTGCCTCCCGTGTTGTTTTTGCTGAGTCAGCAGCACTGAAGTGATCTCCCCTGGGTGCAAGCCTGGGTAGTGTGTATGGAGGTCTTGGGCTGCCCAGATGACAAGACCTCCCCCCCTCAGCCTCATTGATGGGGGTCTAAAGGAAAGCAGAGCAATATATTTGGCACCAGCTTGGCTGCAGGAGTTGCCGGAAGGAAGTGTACAAGGAGCCGTCCAACCGTCTTAGGGACTCTACTCTGGATGTGTGAGCCTCTTTGGCTTGCAAATCAGAAGGTCAACAGATCGCATCCCCGCAACAGGGTGAGCTCCCGTTGCTCTGTCCCACCTCCTGCCAACCTAGTAGTTTAAAAGCACACCAGTGCGAGTAGATAAATAGTTACCACTGCGGCGGGAAAGTAAACAGCGTTTCTGTGCGCTCTGGTTTCCGTCACGATGTTCCGTTGTGCCAGAAGCGGTTTAGTCATGACTCAGAAAGCTGTCTGTGGAGAAACACCGGCTCCCTCGGCCTGAAAGTGAGATGAGCGCCGCACCCCATAGTCGCCTTTGACTGGACTTAACCATCCAGGGGTCCTTTACCTTTTACCTTAGGGTTTACTCCTTAGCCTTTTCTTCCCCCCAGAGATGTTCTGCAAGGCAGCAGTTACAGGTTTTCCCTCAGGGTTTATATGTATGTTTGATTTATACAGGCTGCAGGATTTGGGTTACCTCGTTGCCAAAAAGTGGAGCATAATGGCACTGGTCTGGGGGGAGACAGGGTCTGGGAAATGGGGCCTGGGCAAAGCTTGTAGATTCAGGAAGGAGCCTGCTGACTTTTGAGCGTGCCGGCTAGCCCAAGACATTTTGCCGCCCGAGGGGAAACAGCAAATGCCCTGACCCCATGAAGTCAAGATGCATAACACCCAAAGCCAGTCAAGTTATTCGGGCACCTGAGGCAGTTAACCTTACAGGCTCCACTTCCCCCCCATGACAGCAAAAGTACAACAATAATAAATAACAATTTGCTGCTCTTTCCTAATGGTAGGGCCGGCCCTGTATCAGACCCACCGCTGCTTAGCTGAACCTGGGCATCTTGGTCATGCCAGTGAAATATCGGCTTGTTCTCTGCATGGCCTTAAAGTGGAGATTGGTTAAGGGTATTGCGATTCGCAGCACCAGCAGCCCCCTTTCCTTGCTTTGAGCTTGCAACTCTCCCTTCTGCCTTGCAGGAATCCCTTTCATCCGATACAACGCCCGGCACCTCAGCCGCATCTACCCGCTGGGTCTGAAGATGAACTCTGCCAACTACAACCCTCAGGAAATGTGGAATGCTGGCTGCCAACTTGGTAGGAGACCATCCAACCCTGGGACTCTTTCCCACCCCTGCCCCTCAGCCTCCCATAAGCATCATGGGTGAAAAATAGGTCTCGTGGACATACCGTATTTTTTTCTCTATAAGACGCACTTTTCCCCTCCTAAAAAGTAAGGGGAAATGTGTGTGCGTCTTATGGAGCGAATGCAGGCTGCGCAGCTATCCCAAAAGCCAGAACAGCAAGAGGGATCACTGTGCAGCGCTCCTTTCGCTGTTCTAGCATCTGGCTTAGCCGCGCACAGCCTCTTCGGGTATAGGGCGCCTTCATCCTGCTGCCCTGAAGAGACTGCGCAGCTATCCCAGAAGCCAGAACAGCGAGCAGCGATCCCTCTCGCTGTTCTGGCTTCTGGGATTCAGAATATTTTTTTTTCTTGTTTTCCTCCTCCAAAAACTAGGCGCATCCTATGGTCTGGTGCATCTTATAGAGCAAAAAATACGGTAACTCATGATCCCCTGCCCACTGCTCTTTGGAAGCCTAGAAGCAGGGGACCCAGGTTCCTCCTTCCCACTGTGAAATGGTCAATCCTAGTCATCTCCTCGCCGCCTCAATAGGCGATGGAAGATGGACAGTGGAAAAGAAGCTTAATCTGTGCCTGAGTGACGGTGTGCTGGCCCTGAGGAGTAGGGATGGGTGAATGTTTTCCTTTATTATTATTATTATTTATTTATTGAATTTATATACCTGGGGGGTCTCAGGGCGGTTCACAGAATAAAATCAAGATATAAAAGCACAAAAAAATAATAAAAACAAAAAAGCAACCCAATAGCACCCCCCAAAATAACATTTTAGGTTGTGTCAATTTTACCACACGACTGATAGAAAGTCTGTTCTGTTCCATTTTCGCCTCTGTGTGTGGCCATGGTTTTTCTTAAAATAAAATAAAAATCCCACACAGGATTCTAGATATCGGAGCAGCTAGAACAAACAGTCGCTGCTGTGCACCTAGAAAATGACCCTGAGGTTGAACGTGTGGCGATGTGCCGCCCCTCCCAGGAAGATTGTACCAGAAAAAAGATGGCTGCCCCCTGTCCAATTTCCTGGGCAGGGATAGCATATCAACATGTACAGTCACTCTCAGAAGCATTTTTGGATACATTTGCTATCACTCTGTGTGTGTGTGTGTGTGTGTGTGTGTGTGTGTGTACACACACCCACATATACACACCCTCTCTCATGTTCTAGTATATGTGGGCTATCTCTCAGAGTTTGGTCAGGCTGTGGATTCCAGACCACATTCCAATCCACGCATTGATTTGGGAGTTGCGGTTCAGAAGAGTTCATTGCAGGAATGCAGGCTTCTCCCTGCCGCTCCCTCCAAACCAACCCAAAGTCCTCAAGCATCCTTACTGAGGAGCAGGCCAGAGCCAGCCAACTCTCGGCAACCCTCTTAATTCCCTGTGTTTCCCGATTTCCTGCTGAGCTGGTAGATGCAATACACACACCCCTGGCCACCTGCGGTGGTGACACTGCAGCGCCACGGAGAACGGGCCAGCAACCGTGTCCTCTGCAATTGGTTGGAGGAGCATGCAGTGAGACAATTGGAATCCCTGGCGAGAGATCACTGGCGCCTTTACAGATCCTTTCCCGTAAGCACCCTTTGCCTTACACAGCCTACGCAGGCGTTTTTAATCCAATACAGTGGTACCTCGGGTTAAGAACTTAATTTGTTCTGGAGGTCCGTTCTTAACCTGAAACTATTCTTAACCTGAGGTACCACTTTAGCTAATGGGGCCTCCCGCAGTCGCGGTGCAATTTCTGTTCTCATCCTGAAGCAAAGTTCTTAATCCGAGGTACTATTTCTGGGTTAGTGGAGTCTGTAACCTGAAGCGTCTGTAACCTGAAGCATCTGTAACCTGAGGTACCATTGTAGTAGTAGTAGTAGTAATAATAATAATAATAATATACTATTATTAGTAGTAGTAGTAGTAGTACCCTGCTCATCTGGCTGGGTTTCCCCAGCCACTCTGGTTGGCTTCCAACAAAGATTAAAAATACATTAAAATGTCACACATTAAAAACTTCCCTAAACAGGGCTGCCTTCAGATGTCTTCTAAATGTCAGGTAGTTGTTTTTCTCTTTGACATCTGGTGGGAGTGCGTTCCACAGGGCGGGTGCCACTACTGAAAAGGCCCTTTGCCTGGTTCCCTGTAGCTTTGCTTCTCACACTGAGGGAACCACCAGAAGGCCCTTGGCGCTGGACCTCAGTGTCCGGGCTGAACGATGGGGGTGGAGACACTCCTTCAGGTATACTGGGCCGAGGCCATTTAGGGCTTTCAAGGTCAGCCACAACACTGGGGTGAAGCTGCATTGGCTGTCCAATCTCCCAGGCAAAGGTCCCTTTAAGGGCTGTTGCTTGAGGCTGCTGGGTGAGCTGGAGATTCCAGAGACTGAACCTGAGACCTTGTCCGGCCGTAGCAGGTGCTTGGCCACTGAGCCGTGCGCACCCACCATCCCTCTTTCCCTAAACGACTGCCAGAAACCAAAACATTGAGGCGCTTCATATTACTGTGCCTGGGAAATCAGAGAAGCCCAGGCAATGCAGAGAAGGCTCCTCATAGTGGAGGAAGATGGCTGCCAAATCCTTAAGCAGGGTTTTGAGCTCTAAGGCCAACTCTGAGGCAAGTTTCTGCTCTATAACCAACCCTTAGCATTTGTTTTTGTCCTCATTTTATTTCTTAACTCCTTTTAGTGCTTCGTTTTGTTGTTTTAATTTGTTGTTTTATCTCATTGTTTTATTGTTCTAACTCCCCTGAACTGTGAGGCTGCATGAAGCTGGGCTGGGGTGAGCACTCGGCTAGGCAGTGCCAAACGCAAGGTCGAGTTTACAAGGCCGCCACATTTGGAGATAATTGATTTCTGCAAAGTGCAAGAATATTCATTTCATGCCCTGATCTCTGCAAAGTGCAAGATCTTTCATTTCCTGCCCTGATCTGACTCCCGTTGGCACAGTGTGTCCCCCTTCCCCCCAGTACAGTGGTACCTCGGGTTACATACGCTTCAGGTTACAGACTCCGCTAACCCAGAAAAAGTGCTTCAGGTTAAGAACTTTGCTTCAGGATGAGAACAGAAATCGTGCTAAGGCGGCGCGGCAGCAGCAGGAGGCCCCTTTAGCTAAAGTGGTGCTTCAGGTTAAGAACAGTTTCAGGTTAAGAACGGACCTCCGGAACGAATTAAGTACTTAACCCAAGGTACCACTGTACTGGCCATTAACCACAACAAAGAAAGTAATTTTTGTGTGCATGTTTTAAAAGGGAACAGTTTGCAACGTGGCTGTTGCACGGTGCTTAATATGTGCTAAGCTATGAGCTGGAAGGACATCGTTGCTTCCTCCTCTCCTCCCAGTGCTGGGAACAGAAACTTTCTCTGCGGCAATTCCTTCGCTGCAGCAGAGAATGAAGCCCTTTGCTAAGGCTGGGTAGCTGCCCGATTAGCTCAGTCGGTGAAGCTGGACAAACTAGGATAGCTCAATCGTTAGAGGACGAGACTCTTAATCTTAGGGTTGTGGTTTCGAGTCCCACGTTGGGCGAAAGATTCCTACATTGTAGGGGGTTGGACTAGATGACCCAGGGGGTGCCTTTACAGTTATATCGTTCTAAGTTCTTATAACTGTGGCTTTTCTTCATTAAGCTACTAGACAGGGAAATTCAGAACCTACAAGGATAGGGGTTAAACAAAGATTTGCTCTGAGGAATTTCAAGTCCTGCTGAGATTAGCTGGTTTTACAGTGGTACCTCGGGTTAAGTACTTAAGTCATTCCAGAGGTCCGTACTTAACCTGAAGCTGTTCTTAACCTGAAGCACCACTTCAGTTTAATGGGGCCTCCTGCTGCCGCCGCGCCGCCTGAGCACGATTTCTGTTCTCATCCTGAAGCAAAGTTCTTAACCCGAGGTACTATTTCTGGGTTAGCGGAGACTGTAACCTGAAGCGTATGTAACCTGAAGTACCACTGTATTTGTAAATGAGTCATTCCAGGATTGCAGAATTAGATCCTATACATAAGCACCTGGGAGTAAACCCCATTGAACTCATTGGGATTTACTTCTGAGCAGACATGTCCAGTTTGCACTTGCAAGTGTGATGTTCAGTTGGTTTCAAAACAATATGCTGCTTCTCTTTTCCCGGGAAGGAATGGAGAACAATGCCTTTAAGACGCCCTAGGGCAGAGGTTTTCAACCCTTTTGAGTCCATGGCTCCCTTGACCAACTACTTTCTTTCTGCGGCTCCACTGTGGGGCTCAGGAGCCCAGTTATGTCACCCTTTGCCTGCAGAGCTGGCAGCCTCTCACCCTTTTTTGAACACCCTCCCTTGTGGGGTGTTTCCTCAGCCTCCTCTCCCCTCTCCTTGGGAGTCCTCTGAGCAGCCGCTGCCGCCGCCCCTGGTCTCTGAGCTGCCCCCCTTTCCCCAAAGAGAGGTGCCTCCTCACACTGCCCCACAGGGGCCTGGGAAGACAATGTCCCCAGCCTTAGTGGCCCAACGGAGACTGGCCAAAGGTGAACATGAGGCCAGTACCTTACCTTGGGTGGCAGCAGCAGGCACTGTGAGGCCTGCATGGCAGAAAGGCTCTCCTTCAGCACCGGGCACTCAGCTCCCAGGCGGGCCTTGCAAGCACAAGAAAGGCTGGCACAGCACCTGCCTGCCTGCCCGGCCTCCCACTTGTCTGTCCGTTCCCAACAGCAAGGGCTGGCAGACTGGCTGGCTGGACTTCCTCTCCCACTTGCCTGCTTGCCCCGAGGCCGTCTCAGCTCCTGGCTTCAGCAACCCCTGACCAGCCCCAGAGGCATCATTTGCCTGGGGAGCTTGTAGACAGGGCTGCTGCAATAAATGGCTGGACAAGCCTTTGGGAGGCAGAGATGCTAGAGGGCATCAGAGGAGGAAGGGAAGAAAGGAAAGAGGGATAGAGGCCAGTGTTGCCTGCGGCACCCCGACCATCATTCAAGGCACCCCAGGGTGCCACGGCACACTGGTTGAGAACCACTGCCCTAGGGAGATGGATGTTCCCTTGAGAGAATGACGCCTTCCCTGTCAGATTATCCTTCTTGTCTTTTTCCTGGGAAGAGGAGGAGAGAAGCCAATTTTCGTCATAGAAATCCAATCTGCATATATGAGATCAGCCTCTTGGCAAAAATAAATTTGATCAGCTTGAAAGCGTTCTTACCAGGCAGCGGCAGACAAAAGGAATGATTTGGCTGCATTCCCCGAATAGGATTGTTTTGAGAACGTTTCCTGAGAAGTTAGGACTAATTGGGACATGTTTGAAAAAGCCTTCAATAGTCAGAATGGGTCTCCAACGAGTTGTTCCATGATTCATTGTTTCTTGCCCTGTTTTGAATGTGTTTGTCCACTGAAGCATGTGGAGAGTACATTCATATGTGTGTGAGCTCATTGGCGGTTGTGCGTGGCCTTTGTCACCGCCAATAAGCCAGGCGGCAGCTAGGACAGGACGAAGCTGGTGAACAAGACTGGAAGCAGGATGGAGTGCAGGGGAGTAAAGATATGAATCCCTGTGACCCACAGGTGTGGGGTAAATAACAAAAGAATCAACCGAGTGCCTGGATTCAAAATGCAGGGCTTTGTACACTCTCCAGCAGGAGAGAGCCCCCAATAGCATAGTTTAAACACACAAAAGTCAAGCAGTGGTACATCATTAGGAATACAGTTTATAAGACCCTTTTATCCCAGCGGTCCTCTCTACTCTTGCAATGAACATACCACATACTGTTAAAGTAAGTTTAAAATGCTTTACTTACACAGTGTTCCAAAGGTCAGATTCATGCATTTATCCAAGCAGCAGCAAGGAGAACACAGGCAGAATAATCCTGGGTAGAAAATACAGAAAGGTAGCTTCAGGCACATGCTCTAAGCTTGGAGCTTGCTTAGGCACATCCGCCTTGGTTGTTACATGGTGAGAAGAGAGAGGGAACAGGAAAAGACGACTTTACTTCCTCCCTCATTGGAGAAAAGGGGGTGTGACCTAGCTGAGTCTAGGAATCCAACTTGGTTGTCTTAACCCCTTCATGCACTAACTAGCACTCATGCATAGTTGTGTTTGACTGCAGTTTCCCACACAAACTCCCAGCGGGAAGGGGCAAGGTGAGGGGGACCTCTATCATTGCAGAAGAGAGAGGAGGGCCTTACGACTCAGAGGGGAGGAAGCATTGCCTCTCTTTAGGGAGGACTGCCAAGCACAGGTGGACAGGCAGTTGATGTGTATGGCCAATGAGCAAGGGGCTAGTCATTGGTTGGGTGGAAGGTAAGGAGCCCACCAGTAGGTGGAGCCAGAGCTAATGGCAGGCAGAACCAGCTAACTCCTCCCTGCTGAGTTCTACAAGGACAACCCTGAGACTGTTTTGTTTTTGTCGGGTTGGGGTTAGTTACCGTATTTTTCCATGTATAAGATGACGCTTTTTGCTAAAAATAGGCAAAAATTGGGTGTCTTATACATGAATAGTATAAGACTATGCAGAAGGGGGACGTGCGATTAATGGCAGCAGCAAGCAGGAGATTGGCAGCGGCGATTGGGCGGGTGATTGGTGGCTGCGGCAAGGCCTGCTGGCAATTGGCTGCGGCAATTGGGCAGGCAATTGACGGCTGTGGTGAGGCGGGCAGGCAATTGGCGGCTGCAGCAAGTGGGTGGGTGAGCTGTTGGTGGCGCCAAGCAGGCAGACAATTGGTGGCTGCGGCGAGGTGTGCAGTCAGCAGTGGCTGTGGCAAGTGATCAGCAGTGGCGGGCAGGCGAATGAGCGTTTGGCAGAAGTGACCTCCCCCACCCCCCAAAAAAGCTAAACAACTTAATTTCTTAATTTTGGGTTAAAAAAGATAGGGGTCATCTTATACATGGGGGCGTCTTATACATGGGAAAATACGGCAAATTTAGTTGGGGTTGGTGGTTATTTTAATTTAAACTTTAAACTGTGTATTGTTCTTATTGTTCTTTTTGGTTTCTATTATTGGTTTGTTTGTTGCCTGTATAGGATATTCTGTTTTTTAATGTTTGATGTTTTGTTTTTAATATGTGCTGTAAGCCGCCCAGATGGGCAGGATATAAATTTTATTATAATTATTATAAGATGCTGATAGGCTGAGCCATCACTGTAAGTAAAGAGGCAGGCAAAGGGGGCCTGTGGGTAGACTGAGGTTTGGTGGAGCAGTGCCGCCTTCCCCTCACAGGGACAATCCTTCAGGGGATCTACTTGGAGGAATCCTTCATCACCAAAAGCGTGGCGGCACGATGAGCGACGCACGAAAGGGCTCCGGGGAGGGGCTGCTTAAAATGGCAGCTGCTTGAGCACTGCTGCTGGCACCAACAAAGCCCAGCCCCCTTCCTCCTCTAGGCAGGGCAGGGAGAAGCCAGGAGGAGGGAGGGAGGAGGCACTGCCGCCGCCATGGGAGGGAGAGGGAAGGAACATGCACGCTGGCGATCCACGCAGTGATTCCTCGACCATCTGCAGGCCAGATCCAGAAGGCAATTGGGCCTGATTTGGCCCACAGACCTTAGTTTGCCGACCCATGTCCTAAACTAAGCCCTGTCCTTGGAGCAAAGGATGCGGTTCTGCGTATGTTTTATTTTCTTAGTAGCATTTGGCTCAAGGTGTCTTTCGTTCCTCTCCCCTCCCACCAACCCTTCCCTCCTTCCTTGTGTTGCTCAGTCCTCTTCTGAATTTGCAAATGGCATAGGTCAGAGGTAGACAATGCAATACCCATTGGAGATTGTTGGGACTACAACTCCCATCCGTTGCAGCCAGTATGGCCAATGGTCAGGGATAATGAGAGCTGTCGTCCAATGATGTCTGGAAGGCGCAGGTGTATGCAAAACTGCGCCATCACAGAACCCCGCTTTTCTGCCCCACTTCCACTCCCGTGTAATCTCCTCTCCTTCCCCTGCCCCCTTTCTAGTGGCGCTGAACTTCCAGACGCCCGGTGCAGAGATGGATCTGAACGACGGGCGCTTTTTGGTCAACGGCCGTTGCGGCTACGTGCTAAAGCCCGCTTTCCTGCGCAACCACCAGAGCACATTTGATCCTGAAGCTCCCAAGGGCAGGGCAGGCCAGCGCCCCGTTGCCCTCACTATCAAGGTATAGTAGCATGCAGAATGTTTTTTGTGCAAATGGCTGGCTTCCTGTTTTTCTGCACGTATTTGGGTGTGCTTGAAATTCAATGCGCTGTTGGGTGTCCTCGTTTGGGCTGCATTTTCAGCTGTGTGTATACTGCAATTCTTCAAAACCCGGAAATACTGTGTGTAGTTTTTGGGTGTGAAACGTAGTTTCTGGGTTCTTTTCCTTAGTGATGGCTCTTAAAAATATGTTTTGGAGTGTGAGGAATTCAAACTTGCTACTGTTTTTGGGCTTGGACAATATTTGGCTTGGTGAGTTGATGATTGATGTAGAAGCACATAAACTGTTCTCGGAAAACCAAAGAACTTTCATTTTACCTTCTGAAAATGTCTGGTAATGCCGAACAATAGCCAATAATAATAATAAATATAACTGCAAGTACTTGACAATTATTTTTAATGATTTCTGTGCAATTTTATGCACGTTTTACTTACCAAACAAAACTAATTTATATTAATTTAACCAAAACATCTTTTGAATTCCCAAGTCATGTTACAACTTTTTTACTGCCCCTCATTTTTGGAATTTGGAAAATTGAAAAATTCAACACGCCCTAGTGCGACATTCTAGTGGGTGCATAATTCAGTTTCCTGACACTCTTTGCTTTTGTTTTGTTTTTAAAGAGTAACTCTCCAGCCCTCGTGGCTGCAAAATGCTTGAAAGGTGTGTAAATAAGGTTTTCAGCTTCAGTGCCCTTTTCCCCTGCCATGATTAACAAAGCCAGAATGAATAAAGCAGGACAGCACAAATTGCTGAATAAATTCTACAATATAAGCGGTATTTACTGGCAGTTTTATGCTGGTTGCAGAATTCATCTTTTTTCTTGCTGTTGAAACTGGGAGTGCCTGAGGGCAGGGTTTTCATTTTTATTTTGCCAAGCACAGATGACTCATTGCTCTGACTTTAGTTCAGCTGGCACAGATTCGTTTTAAATTTGGGATTGCATTTTTCAAATGCTCAGTACTAAATCACATATTCTTTGGTTTGCTGATGGTTCTTAAGAGTTGGTGCTTGAAGGGAAGGGGAACATTTTCTCCCCCTATGGAGGATGTTCTAAGCCAGGGGTCAGCAAACCTTTTCAGCAGGGGGCCGGTCCACTGTCCCTAAGACCTTGTGGGGGGCCAGACTATATTTTGGGGGGGGGGGGGAGAAAAGAAGAAGAACGAATTCCTATGCCCCAGAAATAACCCAGAGATGCATTTTAAATAAAAGGACGACACATTCTACTCCTGTAAAAACACGCTGATTCCTTTAAAAAAAAAATTATTATTTTCCATAGATAAACATAATAAAAAAGGAGTTAACAGTAATAAAGCCGAACAGAGAATAAAACAGAAAAAAGATAGAAAAAAATAAGAACATGAAATACAACATATTACCACTTAATTAAAATTAAGTGCCATCCATCTTGGTAAACATAATATTTGACTTCCTCGAGTCTCTTCGATCTGAATTTCTTAGTAATTATCTGTAGCAGTTTCCAATATCAATGTTTCAAAAAACCAAATCACAGTTATAATCATATTACATCACTTTCCTTATCGTGTATTTTCTTATTTATAAATTTAGTCCCAATTTAATCCTAGGCCTAATTGATTCTTTCAAGTGGTTACATATCTTTAATATTACAATATTTATTCAAATAGTCTTTAAATTTCTTCCAATCTTCTTGATGTTCCTCTTCTTTCTGGTCGCGGATTCTCCTGGTGAGATCAGCCAAAAACACGCTGATTCCTGGACCGTCCGCGGGCTGGATTTAGAAGGCGATTAGGCTGGCCTTAGTTTGCCTACCCATGTTCTAAACTCTTTCTTTGCCCCCCTCTTCAGGTGATCACAGCTCAGCAGCTGCCCAAACTGAACAAAGAGAAGAGCTCCTCCATCGTGGACCCCTTTGTGCGTATCGAGATCCACGGAGTCCCTGGGGACTGCGCCAAGAAGCATACCGAATACAAATTAAACAACGGTGAGGGGGAAATGGAGTGCAAATGACATAGACATGTGGCCTGCAAAAAGTCCCAGCATCGATTTCTGGCACCTCCAAGCAAAGCGAGGCATTCTTTGCCAGCTGGACTATCTCAGCTGGTAGAGCATGAGATCCTTTTAATTTGAGGGTCATGGGTTTGAGCCCGGCATTGGGCATTGCAAGGGGTTGTAGTAGTTGACCCTTGTGGTCCCTTCCAGCTCTAGGATTCCAGAGGGTTGAGAGAGAGAGATAGAGAGAGAGAGAGATTTGCTTTCAATACTGGGCAGTGTTTCCCAAACTTTGGGCCTCCAGCTGTTTTCAGACTACAATTCCCTTTGTGGCTTAGGGCCCTCGTATTTACGGGACCGCCTCTCCTGGTATGCCCCGCAGAGGACCTTAAGGTCCGTGAATAATCATATAGGTCCCGGTCCCTAAGGAAGTCAGACTACCCTCCACCAGGGTCAGGGCCTTTTCAGTGATGGCTCCGACCTGGTGGAATGCTCTGTCCCATGAGACCAGGGCCCTGCAGGATTTAACTTCCTTCCGCAGGGCCTGTAAGACAGAGCTATTCCACCTGGCTTTCACCTTGAACTCAGCCTGATCTTTTATTCCCCTTCCTTCCCTCCCCCCTCCCTTTTTATGAAGATTACCTGCTCTGGGATCCCACAGCTAATTCTTCCCTGGTCTCCACGCTGGCCCAAATAGGACTAATTTAGCCAGCTAGCCCTGGTGATCATCTAATGTTTATTGGATGGATTCCCCCCCCCCCAATTGATTTTTGAATTCTGAATTTATTGTTATTCACGTTTTATACTGTATTTTATGCTGTTTTTATTCCTGTATATTCCTGGGAAGACGCCTTTGAGTCCCTCCTAAAAGAATAAATACACAAGAGTCTTCCTTATAAGTAATGAAAAGTTTACTCACATTCAGTTCACAGCATGACCCCTGAAGGCAGGCTTTAGCTTGTAGTGACAGATACAGTGTGTCTTACATCCTTATAAGGATGGGCCCATGTACTGCTGGCAGAGAGCTAGCAGTGCAGTCCAAGAGAATAAAAGGCATCAAAAGAGGAAGATGGCTGCATAACTGGACCTTTTGTGGGGTCTGCAAGGGTCACAGCCACCTACCTGGTCACATACAGGCAGAGGATGCTCCAGACCAGGTGTAACAGGAAGTTCAACTGGCTGGATCAGCATCTCCCTGTCTTGTGTCCACTCTAGGCAAACAAGGAATGTTGTACTTGACTGTTCCAATGGATTACATCCCACATCTATAGGGCTGTGTGGTGTGTTTTGCGGTGTCAGAGACATAGCTATCAACTTTTTCCTTTTTTTTAAGGGAAATTCCCTTATTCCGAATAGGATTCCTCGCAAGAAAAGGGAAAAGTTGACAGCTATGGTCAGAGAAAAGATGTGTGCAGAAAAAAGGACCAAGTCTTGGGCGTGCAAGTCAGTTTCCCGAGAATCTTTGGGTTTACAATTGTTTTGGGGCACAATATTCCTCTGGAATTGTGCTGCGGGGAAGAAAGTCTCTGTCTCCTAAACGTCTGATTTCCCGCTCTTTGTAGGATTCAATCCGTGTTGGGACGAGACGCTGACTTTCCAGGTTCGGGTGCCAGAGCTGGCGCTGGTGCGATTCGTAGTGGAGGATTACGACACGACTTCCTCCAACGACTTTGTGGGGCAATTCACTCTGCCGTTGCCCAGCCTGAAGGAAGGTGAGTGAGTGGCAGCCTCAGGAGAGCTTAGGTGCAGAAATGATTCTGGAATCATGTATATGCTAAATATTTTGAATAATTGTAATACATACAATTGGCAGGTAGCAATGTGGAAGCATATATCGTGTTTTCCCCCTCTTTGTTTTTCCTCCTCCTTTTTTTCCTCTTAACTTTGTTCTGCTTGTTCTCTTTTCTATTTCTTTGGTTTCCTCTTTGCATTTGCATTTTTTGTATTAGAAACATTTATACGAAGGCTTTAGTGGGGTGGGAAGACAGGAAGGGGGCAGTCGGGAAGGGGGGTCCTTGCCTGAAAGGCAGAATAGAAAGGGTCTCCCAGGGTGAAAGATTGGGAGATGTTCTCAGGTGCGAGACGGGAGGGCCTACCTCTCTGAATGTGGATACAGTTGAACCTTGGTTCCTGAACAGCTTAGATGCCAAACAAATTGGCTCCCGAATAGCGCACACCCAGAAGTAACTGTTCTGGTTTTTGAACGTTTTTCAGATGCCAAACGTCCAGCGTGGCGTCTGATTGGCTGCAGGAAGCTCCTGCAGCCAATCAGAAGCCCCGCCAGACATTCGGGTTCCAAAGAACATTCGCAAACCAGAACACTCCATTCTGGGTTTGGGAGCCAAAATGTCTGTGTACCAAGGCGTTCAGGATCCAAGGTACGACTGTATATCATTTCCCAAAAGCCTTTAGCTTTTTTCCAGGTCCACCACATATCTCCCTCTTCCTTTCTGACTGGATTTCCTTCCTCAGGCTACCGGCATATCCACCTGCTCTCCAAAGATGGGACCTCTTTGTCTCCAGCCACGCTGTTTGTGCACGTCAGATGCAGGAAGATGTGAAAGGCGTTGGATTGTCAAGAATCCAAGTCAAATCTGGCCTGTGGCGGAGGAGTGGCTCTGCTGATTCCAATAACCGGCCGCCGCTCACCCAGATGTGTGCATCTGGACCACGCTGAGGAAGCAGCATGCCCCAGCCCCCCTGGTCTGGGCTGAATCGGGTGCGCAAGCAACCCTCGCTCAGAGACCCCGACTCGCATTAGGGTTAGAAGACTGAAAAAACCTTTGTGCTATTGAAGATAAACAGCCCAAGCGGTGTAGCAACTCCTAGAATATCTCTCTTCCGGACAGGGTTTTTAGACCGGGGAGAGGGCCCCGGCCCATCCCCTTCCCCATTATGGTTTGGGAAGGGAACACGAGATGGGAATATCTTCCTTAAGTTTCTGACAGTCACACGGCTCTTGTGAGAAGTAGCGAGTAAAAGGATTTGTTGGTTTTGCGTAGCTCGTTAGAACGGGGATTTTGAGAATGGAGGTCAGGAGGAGCAGAGGGTTGTGAGCAATCCGCCGGTGGACGGATCCTGTTTGAGGCTTCTGGTACAGCCCTCTAGGCTGCAGAGGAATGTGAGCCACAGATTGAACCGAGCCTAGACTAGCCTGCCCGTGGCAATATGGGTTTGGAGAGGATCGGCCCAGCAAAGTACATTTGGTTGGAAGTTGGGTTGAGGCTGTAGGAAACTTTATCTTTGCTTTTTTAGGAAATAGGCAGTCAGTCCTCATCAGCTTGTGAAGCCAGTCCAGACTTTTGATACCCTGGCAACAAATTTCGGCTAGAAATTTAAGCTAGCAGATCGTCAGTCTAAATCACAAGCCACTGACTTCCGATTGTCCCAAAAGAGCAGGTCAGGACTCGTATTATACTAGGCTCTCAAAGTAGTACTGTATATATTGGTTCAAGCGTTAGCAAATTAATATTAGCGTGCCCAAAGAGTTCATGTACACGTCACACTATATTTTAAGAAGCACTTTTTCCTACTGGTTCTTTTGAAGATGGGATTACAATAAGCTCCTGTCCTTCAGGATAAAAAAGGCTTGCTACCTCCACAATAGCCTTTTCCCCTTGGTTAATTTGAAAAGGGCATATTAATACACCTATTCTTTTGGCGCTTTGGGTTGCTGCATCACATAGTTTAAAAGCAGGCATTATTAGCAAGTTAACGAGCCGTTTTGCCAGACAACAGGTCATATTGGAGCTCAACTCAACCTTGCCCTTTCTAGTCACTTAGTATCAGAGCTTTTTGGCTCAGTGCACAGGTTCTGCCCAAGATTGGGCTATGGACCACGGATTAACAGCCACGGATTTCCTAAAACGAGAAATCCCTACTTGGTAGAGGGGAAAGCCAGACAAATCGCATGCAGCCCATCACATTCGATGGGGATGAGGGAGTTTGCTTAATTTCCTTTGCAGACACAAGGGGAGTCACGGCTGTGTGCAACTTCCTACACCTGGGTGGGTGCAGTTAAGGCTCACGTTCAAAACAACTAGCTTGAAAAGCCTTCCTTTTTCGTAACGGTAAGGCAAGAGCGCTTGAAGGACAGTGACCAAGGGACTGGCAATACACGTTAAGGGGAAGCGTGGCAAGTGACTTAGACCACAGCCCCCGTTCCGAGTTATACCTGCTAATGCAAAAATCCGATACGCTGGCCTTGCCTTTTAAGCCCCCAGTAGCAGCTAATGATGCAGAGGAAGGGAAAGTTGTAAAGCAATGGACATTATCACACACTTTGGATTATTGGACGTTCTCAGAAGGAAGAGGAAACAACTGTTGACATGGGGCCATTTTCCCCAGTGACAGCCCCACACATTTCTTACTAAGGGGGGACGGGACAAGGGCAGTTTTCAAAAGGAAAACAAACCTTGCTATTAAATACATCTCCCAAGAAAAGTAGGCAGATGGTGGGAGTTCTGCCCAACACCTAGAGAGCACCATTTTGGCTACCTCTAGAATAGGGGTTTGGGGGATTGGGTTGGAAGCAAAGTAGATTTAAGTAAGGCAGAGCTATTAAAAAAACAACAACCAAACAAATATCTTCCTAGAGATATTAAAGAAGCAATCAAGTGAGTTTCTGTAGAGTTGGGATTAGATATTTTGATCTACGGGATCTGGTCTGAGCCCATCTCTAGAACATGGTAGATTGTATGACAATGCCCTGCATAGGACAAATTCTTCCCAGCTTTCCCCCCCCCCCCCCGGATCATAATTTCACTATGAACTAAACAGAGTTTACAAATCTAGACTTTGCAAACTCCGCAAGACGCAGCACTGGTGTGATTTCACCCTCTTACCCATCTCACTTCTTTGATATTATAAAGGAAGAAGCCCCCAAGAACCAGTGTCACTTTCTAGAATTTGATTTTGAAAGCTTCTATGTATCAAAAGAGACTGTTGTTTATAATGTATTGAATAGCTATAATAAAAATATTTTATTTTAACAAAATCCCAGTGTCACAGAAATTTCAAATTCCATGGAACAAATATGGTGTGTTTAAACGACAACAAAATAGAACTACAATCTTTGCCCTTAACAGAGAGACGTAACTGTGATGGGACTCAGGGCAGGAAATGATATCTGTATGGGAATCTGCATTTCAGAATGTGGAGTCTGGTTTTCAAAATCCACATTTCAACATTTAGTATTTAAGTTCTGAGTGAGCAATTGGTTTCTTGGGTAGATGTTGGATTCCGAAGCAGGCATGTGCTGTTTTCAGTGCACAATTTCAGACCTTAATAGTGTCCAAGCTTGAGTTCCTATACTTAAAATCTGGAACTTCCTTTCCCATTTATAAAGTGACGGTAGCGGTGTACAGTGGTGCCCCGCAAGACGAATGCCTCGCAAGACGGAAAACTCACTAGACGAAAGAGTTTTCCGTTTTGGAGGTGCCTCGCAAAACGAATCTGCTATGGGCTTGCTTCGCAAGACGAAAATGTCTTGCAAGTTCCTGGGTTGTTTTTTTCCTTTCCCCCCCTCTTTTTCTAAGTCGCTAAGCCGCTTATCTGCTTATCCGATAAGCTGATAAGCTGCTAAAAGCCGCTAAAAGCCGCTAAAAGCCGCTAATAGCGCTAATCGCGCTAATCCGCTAATCCCATCAATGGGCTTGCTTCGCAAGACGAAAAAGAGACTCCCAGAACGGATTCTTTTCGTCTTGCGAGGCACCACTGTAGTTCTCTCCCTTCTACCAATATTCATGTGTTGCTCAAAAAGCCCTTTCTGCCAATGACAACCACGTCACAATGATGTGGCAAGGAAGATATATAGCTGCGTCTTTTATTTTTTGGTGGAAAATTGAAAGCAAACTTCACTCCAATAGCTGAAAATGTTAACTTTTAGAGTTTGTAAGGAATGGTGATGCTTTATTCTTCAGTGTACCACAAGAGCAGTCTTCAACAACAAGGGTTGTTCGATTTAGGAATATTGGGTGGAATCAACATTTCCCAGGAGAGGGAAATATTCTGTATCCCAAACAAACGTGGCATTTCTCTGTGTTGCCTTCTCTCGTGGCAAAGCCACCTTTCCCCTCCTCCTTCTTCCTGCCGCTGTGCCATCGACTCTTAGGCTGTAGGCAGCAAGTTGAGACAAAAAGTTATTCAGGACAATCGCCACCATTCCCAATTTTTAAAAAGCAAGGCAGGACCCAAGGAGAATGCAAAAGGATCTAAACAAAGGATGGAGAAAGGCAGCCGAAAGCAGCTCCTCCAACAGGTTTGTGTTTTTTAATCTCCTCCTCTGCAATGTTTTGATTGGTTAAACATTGGTTGGCCCTACTATAGGCTTTGGGATTGCTCTTTACTGAATCCCCTCCAGCAGGAAGCTCTCTGAAGACAGAGCTCTTTTGCTGGTAGAACTCAACATATAGCCAGATCCTTAAAAAGCATTTCCGTTGAGAACAGATTAATAGGCTCTGCATCCAGTTAAGGGACATGCGAGGAAGAGAAATGCCTTGCACTGCTGAGCCATCTCCTATTAGCACACAGGAGACATGAGATTGGGAAGAGGGTTCTCCTGCCTCCTTGGAATGGAAAACCTTACTTTCAGCAGGACTTTTTTAAAAAGCCACTGTAGCACTCACAGCCCCCACCCCACAAGGCATGACTATATTCATGTGGCTCCCATCTTAATGAATCACACACTCAAAAGCCATTGAAGTAGGATACCACTGTCAGATCTTTGGCCCAAAGTTAGCAGATACTCCCCACCAATAAGCACACAAGGGGTGAAAAGGAATATTACACATTTATCACATTTGAAGAATGCTATACAGAGACTGCAATATATAGAGAGAGAAACGCACAAGCCCAGGCTGGATGTCTGTGTCCTCATCACAGCACACCTCAAAAGCGTATCCAAAATGAAAATGGATCCAAACCAAGGGCAAAATGCTAGAAGCGGAACTATCAAAGTCTATACAGAATCTAGAGCTGGGAGCATGTCTGCGAAGCAAACGGGAATTAGCCAGGGAAACTCCAGTGCTCTTTCAATGCCAGAGGCATGTCCTGTCGAAGGAGCTGCTGCCGTCAGGCTTATAGTTCTCACAAAGTTTTCAAAGCATTGGAAATCCAAGGGGGTGTTTTCTCAAACCCCTCTCGGGTGGAAATGAAGGTATTCCTTCTGAATAAAGCAGCAAAACACTTGACCGTGGAAAGACGCAAAGGCAACTTGGACAAAGCAAGCACAGATCACGGGAGAGATCCTTTTCGTAATGTTCTACTGAACCTCCACGGGTGACGTAACAAGCTCTGAGTCAACTGCACAAGCAGGTTAAAAGCTGCAGGCGTTGCCAGCCTACGACACAAGAATTGCACAATCGCTGGTTTCTAGCTTAAGGGGGATTTCCTCTTCCTCCAAACGTGTTTTGAAACCATTACGTCTTTATGAATCAGTCTTCACGAAGGAGGGTCCGTTTCCAAAATACAATGCTTGGGTAGAAAGCCGTCGGCAAAGTAAGGAATGAGATATACATCTTTTGCAACAGATATAGCACTTTGAGGAGGTGCCAAGTTATCTAGATAATGCTGTCCTTTTCTGCCCAGCAGTGGAAGGAACCGCACTTGGGACCCAGTTTTAACTCAGGTGGTAAATATGTCTGGATTGTACCATTTCAGAGAACGGGTAGTCACAGAAATGGATGCTCCACCATACAAAGAAGCTAGAGGTGAGGAAGATCGGTTGCAGTCCAGCCTTCTCCCCTATGCATGCTATTTTTCTCTATGGAGATTCAGTCTGACAGGATATGGCCTAGATTAGGGGAGGCGAACCTGTGGTGTCCCCAGTTCATGTTGGGACTCCCAACCCGCATCAGCCCCTGGCAGCATGGTAAGTGGTTAGGGATGGTGGGAGTTGCAGTCAACAGCTGGAAGGCCACAGATTCCCCATCCCAAGGATGTAGACACAGGTTTCCCCAGCCTAAACTACAGGTTTTGTTGTTAACATTTAAAACCCTAAACAACACAGGACCAGGATAGCTAGCAGAGCATCTCCTTCAGTGAAAACCAAGCTGACCTCTGCAATGCCCTCCCTCTGGAAATCTGTGAGGCAGGAACCATGACGACGTCTAAATGCCTCTTAAAAACTCAAGTTTTCCTAAGCCTGTCCAAACCCTTGACCCTTTCCCCTTATGTACACTGCTTATTTTTATTTGGGATACAGTTGCATTTTTTAGCCAGTTCTTAGCAAATTTCATTGAATTGTGTTGTATTTTTTAATGTGAATTTCTTATAAATTTTTATATTAAATGGTATTTTTAAAAAACAACAACATAAAAGCCACTGACTTGGCTACGATAAGAGTTACACCCTTCCTAGGATCTCAGCTCAAACCTTGAAGTAGAGTGGCTGTCTCCCACCACAAACGCCACCGATGGGTTTTCACAGATCCAAGTGGCACCTCTTTAATTCATGGGAGGCCAATTCCTCCCTCCTGCTCTTCTTCACGGTCCCAGCTTCTTTTCAGCCATCCTTGTTTTCCAGCAGATGACTTCCAACGCCTTCCAGATATGGAGAAGACCTTTCGAAAAGCCCATTTCCCTGGTGGTGTTTCCCACCGTAGCAAAACTTGGGAGAGCCCTCTGTAAGACAAGGCCCATCCATCTTGTTCACTGCACAGATAACAAATCTGTTGATTTTGGAAGACAGACAGGAACGGTGGGTGTAGAAAGACATATCTCCTTAGTGTTGGGTCATTTTCACTGGGAAACTGGAAAGCCTCTTCCTTGAAAGAGGTCACTGAGCAGAAGCCCTCGAATGAAGGCCTGATCTTCCCAACTTCAGGAAGTAAAATAACCTGGCTGTAACAGATACACCAGCAACATAATATGGTCTGTCTCCCGTTGCAAGTATTCATTGGCAAAGTTACAGATAGCCATTCCCATGATAGCTTGAATGAAATTCTCATGGGATTATGCAGACAGGCAACAGGCACAACTGCCAGGAAAGTTTCTCATAATATCAGCAGATTCTCACAGAAGGGAGCACAAAAATGTTCTTTTCAGGGCTGGGCAGTACAAGCGGACTGTTAGTTGACTTAAGCAGAAGGGAGACGCTGCAGCTCAGGAAAGGTCGAAAAACGGGCAGAGCGTATGATTCTGTTGTAGGAAAACACAGATGGGGTGGAGCTGTAGTTCCAAGACATCGCAAGCCCCAAATAACTCCCATCTCTTGGAGGGGGAAAATGAAGAACTGCTCCCATAAAGCAAGGCATGGCCAACATGGATTTTAAGAGCCAAAAGGCACAGGCTGTTAACAGTTTGGAGAGTCAAGTGTCGCAGCGACAAACTTTAGCGCAAGTCCAGGACAGGAGAGATGGGACAGCTACATACATCATCCCACAAGAGTTCAGTTCTGGGACAGCTCCGTAAGTCACTAAATTAGCCCTTTATTTCTTTCCAAAAGAAAAGCTGGAGTATTAAGCACGTTAGCCCTTTGCTGCATGCACAAGGCAGAAAATAGGCTTTAAAAACAAATAACCCCCCAACATCATTAACTGGCACCAGCCTTGGGCAACCACACCAGAGAAAACTCACACTGAAGCTCAATTGTGCTTTAGATGTCACCGAGAAACACTGGATATAGCTGGGTGTTGGGATGCACCACAAAACACTAATTTTGCTGGTGATGGTTGGGGCAATCTGGGCCATTTTCAACGCTATTTCTACAACAGAAAGCTAAGCAACCCCGTGGTTCCAGTCCCAGTTCCGCTGAACAGCAAACATGGTTAAAGTATAGAATATATAATATATTTTTTTATTATTATTCACCCGTTAACTCCAATATATGCCAATTGTGAGCTAGTTTTTCAGCAGTTACATTCCCTTGATCGTGGTTGTACGGGGGGGGGGGGGGGAGAAGAGGCCAAGTGCTGATGCTAACATGTCGGCGCACTCCGAGGCGCATGGTACAATCATCAGAAGTGTCAGTGGACGGTCCGCATGGCCAGTGTAGGGGGGCGCCAGCTCCTCCGCAGGAGGGTCGCACTTCCATAGACATCTGAACGGCAACGGCCAGCAGTTCCACTCTAGCCTGTCCTCAGCGGCTTTGCCAGCCCTTCTCCAGAGATTACTGGTTACTGCAGCACCAAGCCAACCTATGGAAATAACCGGCATAGAGGGGAAGGGTTAGGAAAGGTTGAGAACTTTTGTTTCTTCGTGGATGGATGCAAGCTGTCCAGTTGCACAAAAGAGGCCTTGTGCCCCAACAGTTACAGTGGCGAGGACCAAGAAGCGCAGAGATGCATCTGTATACTGCAATGCGTTATACGTAGGACTTCAGCTAGTGCAGAATTCAGCGGCCAGGTTGCTCACCGGAACGAGATGGTTTGAGCGTATTACACGGATCCTGGCTCGACTGCACTGGCTATCGAATTCAAAGTGCTGGTTTTGACCTATAAAGCCTTAAACAGCCCCGGACCGCAATACTTCAAGGACCGCCTCTTCCCATATGAACCTACCCAGTCCCTGTGATCCTCTTCTGAGGCCCTCCTTCGTGTGCCTCCTCCCTGAGAGATCCAGAGGGTGGCAACACGAGAACGGGGCCTTCTCTGCAGTGGCTCCCGTCTGTGGAATGCTCTCCCCAGGGAAGTTTGCCTGGTGCCTTCACTATACACCTTTAGGCGCCAGGCAAAAACGTTCCTTTTTAACCAAGCCTTTGGTTGATCCAATTTACATCAACCAAATGTGTTTTTTTGTTTGGGGGGCAGCTATTGGGTTGTTATTTTTAGTAGGTATTTTGTGGTTCTATATCTTGATTTTATTCTGTGAACCGCCGTGAGACCCCCGGGCATATCCCTATCCTCCATTTGCGCATGATTGCTGGGGTTTTTGCTCAGAGGCAGATTGTTTACTTTGTGATTTTTAGGTGATTGTTTTCCCCCCATTCCCCCCTTCTAAAATTTGTTCCTTTTCTATCCAAAAACGGGAGTGTCAGCAACTTTGACCTGAACCCCAAAATAATGGGATTCTCCTCCCTAAACAAAGTCAAGAACTTAGACCAGAACCCCTAAAAAAGGACTCTCCTTCCTAATAAAAGGTTTAACAAATATGACCTGAACTCCCCCAAAAGGGGTAGATCACTGCCTGCTCTCCCCCCCCCCCCCGAGAGTAGATTGCAGTCTCTTAGGCGTTGGACGTCCCTGCTCTACAGCAATGGTCACCTACCTTCTCTGGCCCCATGCTGGGGCATTTCCAATTGTAGAGATAATACTGCAGATTTCCATCTCCGATCCCGAATTTCAGCTTCTCCAGGAAGGTCTTGTTCTCCATGAGATCCAGTGCATTGAAAACATCAAAGCCCCTCTGCACAAAGAGGTATGGCAGGGAGACACATTGGGCTTATTTGTATGCTTTGAAATTCCTTAGCATCCAGAAAAAAATAGGCCAGTTTTCCCCCCTCAAGTGCCATGAGTGTGTGAATGTTGCTTTAAAAAAATCCCGTAACTCAGACATTCAGGACTATCAATTCTGTACTGCTCCTCAGGTCTCCTTAACATATATATTGGGCTCTGATAAACAAGATTGTTTTTAGCACGTTTCCCCGAATGTTACATTAAGGAAATAACGTAACCTAAAGAGCGCAGCTTACCATCTTGGCCAATATAAGGGCATCATTCATGAGGTCGAGAAGTGGTGTCTTGGTGTGGACATTGTAGAATGAATAGGCCGCCTTCAAGCTCTTGTGGGTTGGGTGATTCATAATCGTGGAGGGCAGGGTGTAGAAACTCAGGAAGTCAGTCACCTCCCCATCGGTGTTCTGAAGTAAACAGTGAGATACATTTTAGAATTAAATCCCCCAGACTCTGCCAGTGTTCAGCTGTGGGGGAAGCAAGTTGGCTTCATCTGCCATCAGGCCTGCCCTCTCCAACTTAGCGGGGCAAGAAGATCTCATTCCTCCCTTCTCTCCAATTACTGTATTTTTCGCTCCCTAAGACGCACCTGACCATAAGGCGCACCTAGTTTTTAGAGGAGGAAAACAAGAAGAAAATTATATTCTGTGCAGAGCGTGTAAGCTGCTCTGGCTTTTCTTGTTTTAAAGCAAGCAAAACGAGAGCTGCTTACATGACTTCTGTCCCGCTTTGCGCAGCTCTCACTTGGCTTGCCCATCCCTCCTCCCACCTCGCTATAAAGCCAAGCAAGAGCCGCTGACACGCTCTGCGCGGCTCTTGCTTTAAAGCAAGGAAAGCAAGAGCTGCGCAGAGCGTGTCAGCGGCTCTTACTCTGCGGGCTTTACAGCGAGCGACAGACGGGAGCCATGGCTCCAGCTGCGGAGGCATCCCTCAGCTCACGACTGCAGCAGCAGCCGAGGGATCCCTCTGCCGTCCAGTGCATTCGCCCCATAAGATGCACAGACATTTCCCCATACATTTTAGGAGGAAAAAAGTGTGTCTTATGGAGCGAAAAACAGGGTACAATATTATTCTGGTTTAGAAAAGAAACAAAATGGATTGGGAATTAAGATGGCAATGACTCTTGATGAATAGAACTTCGGACTGTGGGTGGGGGAAAGCCATGCAGAAACCTAGCACAGCAAGGAATGGGCTGAGCTAGAACCTCTCCACTGATGTGGGAATACTTGTTGCTTTTGAATTTACAGCAGCAGGCCCAAACCGGTGGTCCATAAGCTTCATTCAGGGGGCCTGCAGCATGCCTGTGGATTTGTGGCTGAAGACAGTACATGAAATATTGGTACTGGTTTTTAATTGTACAGTGGTGCCTCGCAAGACGAAAATAATCCGTTCCGCGAGTCTCTTCGTCTAGCGGTTTTTTCGTCTTGCGAAGCAACCCTATTAGCGGCTTAGCGGATTAGCGGTTTAGCGGCTATTAAAGGCTTAGCGGCTTAGCTGCTAAAAGGCTATTAGCGGCTTAGCGGCTTAGAAAAAGGGGGGGAGCGAAAAAAATCGCAAGACTTGCAAGACGTTTTCGTCTAGCGAAGCAAGCCCATAGGGAAATTCGTCCTGCGAAGCGCATCGAAAAACGGAAAACCCTTTCGTCTAGCGGGTTTTTCGTCTTGCGAGGCACCACTGTATTTTTATTGCTTCTTATATTGCAATTTACTGTATTACAATTTGAATTCTGTGGAGTTCAAACTGTAATACAGGCACACCCCCATTTACACAGGCATTGCACATTTAAGTGAAATATTTGAAACACCATTGAAAAAGCCGGCAAACACCATGTTCTGCCCCTGCCCTGCCTCTTCTCGTGACATTTTCGGGTCACTTCTAGGTTTGGCAAATACATTTGTGTGTGGTCTCACACATACTGAAAACGCATAAATGGGGGGATTGCCTATTCATTAAAATACATAAGACATAAACGAAGCAATAAAAATACAATTAAAAATCACGCACATTGCCACTGCTGCAACAGGAAGAAAAATCAAGCACATTGCAATTGCTGCAACAGGAAGAAAAATCATTAACTGCCCCTCAGCAATTTTCAAGCTGTCTATGGGAAAATAAGTTTGGGAGCCAGTGATTTACAAGGATATTCTTCTATGTGGGGGAGCATTAAAATTGGCATTCCCTCCCACCAGCAGTCTACAAGAGCAAAATCCATTCTAACACCTTATTCAGCTTGAATGCGTGAAAAATCTGCTAAATTTGACTGCAAGTACAGCAATGCCCTTCATATATTCACTTCACACAAATGTTCAGGGCTGTTTTTATCCCAAAGGAGTATGGCTTTTTCTGTACTTAAAAACGTATACACTGGTATCTTGGAAGTTGAACAGAATCCATTCTGCAAGTCCGTTCGACTTCCAAAACATTCGGGAACCAAGGCGCGGCTTCCGATTGGCTGCAGAAAGCTCCTGCAGCCAACTGGAAGCCGCAACAGACGTTCGGGTTCCAAAGAACGTTTGCAAACCAGAACAATCACTTCAGAGTTTGTGATGTTTGGGAGCCAAAATGTTCAACTGGCAAGGCGTTCGACTTCCAAGGTACGACTGTATTTAAGTATCTTGATTCTGTCTGTGGAGTAAGGTCATAAGATGTGACACCAATAATAATAATAATAATAATAATAATAATAATAATTATGATGCATCTGCCCACCTGCATGCAATTTGTCCTACTTCATATGCAGCAGGACTGGGGAGACAGACTGCAGAACTCCCCAACCCCTTCTCTCTGCCCTCTGCTCATTGGCTGTGAAGTGACAGGGGGAAAAGCGCTCCTCACCTCAACTACAAATGTGTCTATGATGTTGGGCTGGGGTAGAAACCAGTGCTCCACCTCCTCCTCATTCATGACAGGGGTCAAGTTGAACAGCTTCAGATACTCAGCCAGAAGTTTGTGCACAGCAGGGATGTCTCTCTGCTCCATCGGCCGCAGCCCTGGGGTCTTTGGAGTCTGGGGGAAAAGTCAGAGGAAAAGGGTTTGCTTAGAAAGGCATTTGGGGATCCTGGCTGACAGTGAAGGACGGGCTTCACAGCTAGACTGGCGGTTTGCAGACCGTACCCTCAGGACTGCTGGAGGATGGGCTGTGGCTCAGTGACAAGGGTGGTTTTCAACTCAGTTTTACTGCAAGGACAACCACTGAAATGAATGGACCTAACTTGAGTCGTGCTCATTAATTTTGAGGGGTCTACGCTGATGGAAGCTTAGCTGAATACCTGCCAAGATGCCCAGTGTTCAATCTCTAGGGTAGGGGGAAAGTTTGAACCCCGATAAACTAGATCCACAGGTGCCCTTTACTACCACATCCTTCTCCAACAGTTTCTAAGCAATTTGTTCTAAAAATTGTTCGGGGTTGTTTCGCTCTCCTTCTGCGATGAGGCGCTGCTTGGCGCCTTCACTCCAAGTTGACGCCAGCAGAGAAATCTTATCAGAGACTGCACAGCCCTGTTCTCTGGCTCCTCCTGCTGTGACAGCTGTGAAATGCGCCTGTGCTGTGCAGCTTCTGTGCCAAGCAAACCTATGCGCAGGGTCCCCAGAGCTACGTGGATGAACCTTCTGCATGCACATTCCTGTGGCTGGAGATTGCAGTCCTGGCCAGTGAAAGCACTTTTGTGTTGGCCCGGGGGTGGCTCAGACGGAAAGGAATATTATATTGAGCTAATCGTATTGCCCACGCGGGACACGGGTGGCACTGTGGGTTAAACCACAGAGCCTAGGACTTGCCGATCAGAAGGTTGGCAGTTCGAATCCCCGTGACGGGGTGAGCTCCCGTTGCTCGGTCCCTGCTCCTGCCAACCTAGCAGTTCGAAAGCACGTCAAAGTGCAAGTAGATAAATAGGTGCCGCTCCGGCGGGAAGGTAAACGGCGTTTCCGTGCGCTGCTCTGGTTCGCCAGAAGCGGCTTAGTCATGCGGGCCACATGACCCGGAAGCTGTAGGCGGCTCCCTTGGCCAGTAAAGCGAGATGAGCGCCGCAACCCCAGAGTCGATCACGACTGGACCTAATAGTCAGGGGTCCCTTTACCTTTATTGCCCAGGCAACAGAAGGGAAGTGGCTAGATAAGGACAATTTTGGAAGGTTTAATGCATGAGATCCAGAGAATTAGGAAGCAGCCACATAAGGCTTTCTTGGGGGACCAAGTGCATTTAAGGGCAATGGGGGTGGTGGAAACTCCTCCAGACACATTTACCAGATCAGATTCTGTGCCAGTTTGCTGCCCACTGGCAGGGAGAAGTAAGGGGCACTACGACAACCCAAAATATGGTGCTAGTGCAGAGTTGCACAGAGTCACACTGGAACCTTTCTGGAAATCACTGTTGCAATTGTGGTATGATGGATAATCTCAAAAGATGTGCCTCAACTATTTCAGGTGGTTCACATGGCATGGTTGCCACCCAGCGACTGTTACCAAACAGTGCTCAAACACCCGTGTGCCAGGGCCACTCGCAAACTGAAGGATTTCCCTCTATTACATCTCAGTTGTTTTTTTTAAAAAGGGGGAGGGACCAGTAGCAAAAACCACCCAATCAGCACAGGGAACAGCCGTGAGCTTGGGAGATGACCGCTTGCCCAGCAACTCCACATGGCAGCCGGAAACACCAGCACAGAGCTAAGCTCAACTTACAGAGACCTGATGCTCTCCCAATTTAAAAAGGTGAACCCTCTTTACGTCCCGACTTCAAGCAAATACACTTTGACACAATAAACCACATTTGATCCGACTCTGGAATCAGAATATTTACAGCCAGAGAATCAGGAAAGGGTCAAAGGCTGTCTAAATACCCATCCAAGGGTAGGGCCACCCATCTTCTAGCTCCTTACCAGGCAACCTAAATATAATTCACATTATAGTGGGGGCATGAGAAGAGAAAGCAGGTGCATCTGGAGCTAGTGTCTCAAGCAAACAAGACACATACTCCAAGTGAAGGGAAAGGGAAGCACCCCCACTCTGCATTAGTAGCCAATCTGATGCTGGGAAAAATTCCTAAAAAATGTTGGTGGGGGGGGGCACATAATCGCTGTATCACCCACCATCTTGGCTCTTGATCTACATTTCCAACATTTCTGGTGGCTGATGCAAGTTTTTCTCCCGAATTAAAAAAAGAGCAGTTCACCCTTATACTCTACAAAGAAGCCTTCTCTTTGGTTTTTCTTTTTTCCCCAGAAAGCACCTTTTTATTAATTATTATCTTGTTAAAGGAATATAAATATATGTTACACTATAGCACAGCAAAAGGATCATATGGATGAATGTTGCCTGGAAATTTGCCATTCCAGAACATAATAAATGACCAATGTTACTTTAAAAAAATCCATTTGTCTATTCATTACTTGCCCTTCTGTGGTTTGTCAAATGGGTCAACATTCCACACCCCCCCCAACTATTCTGAAATTAAGGGTGCCATCCTCCATGTGCAAGCTTTAGCTTTAGGGTATAAGAGAGAAGAGACGGGGGTGGCACTGTGGGTTAAACCACAGAGCCTAGGGCTTGCCGATCAGAAGGTCGGCGGTTCGAATCCCTGCGACAGGGTGAGCTCCCGTTGCTCGGTCCCTGCTCCTGCCAACCTAGCAGTTTGACAGCACGTCAAAGTGCAAGTAGATAAATAGGAACCGCTCTGGCGGGAAGGTAAACGGCGTTTCCGTGCACTGCTCTGGTTCGCCAGAAGCGGCTTAGTCATGCTGGCCACATGACCTCGGCCAGTAAAGCGAGATGAGCGCCGCAACCCCAGAGTCGGTCACAACTGGACCTAATAGTCAGGGGTCCCTTTACCTTTATTGCCCAGGCACAGAAGGGAAGTGGCTAGATAAGGACAATTTTGGAAGCTGTACGCGGCTCCCTTGGCCAGTAAAGCGAGATGAGCACTGCAACCCCAGAGTCATCCGCGACTAGACCTAATGGTCAGGGGTCCCTTTACCTTTTATAAGAGAGAACTTCCCACACAGGAGAGGTTGCCTCCTCTGTGAATCATGCTTCTGCAGTGTGTGCCTTTAGATTTCGAAGGAAACAAGCCCAGAGCACTGCCTTCCCTGGAGACCAAATAAGCAAACCTTCTGTGGTCCCTGCGCTACAAGAGGGACTGAATGCTCCAATCACATTCTGATGCAGAGATGTTGCGGAATTATCCAGCCATGGAAGAGAATGATTAGGAGGAGGCAAGGCCAAGATAACACCTTGCGCAGAGATGCAGCTGGCAATCTTCTCTGCAGATGGATGAGCTGGGCTCAGAGGAGCCTGTAATTATTTCTTTGCGGCTCGTGAGCAGTTCTCTCCCGGGACTCCGGTGTGCCCTTGGCAAGGTTTGGGATTGCTGCTCTAGATGCAGAATAATCTCTGGTGATACAGAGGAAGGAGAACGGGGCCGGGGAGAACCTAAGAAAAACTAATGCTGAGATGCGATCGGGGTGAGAAGGAAATCTTTCCTGACCTCAAGGGGTACAGCTCAGGCTTCAGCTCACAAGGTACTTCTCATTTAAATGCAATCTGGTTTGGGCCCAGAGTGTACAGTCATACCTTGGTTCTCGAACGCCTTGGTACTTGTATGTTTTGGCTCCCGAACGCCGCAAACCCGGAAGTGTTCCAGTTTGCGAACATTTTTTGGAAGCTGAGCATCTGACGCGGCTTCCGCTTGACTGCAGGAAGTTCCTGCAGCCGATTGGAAGCTGTGCCTTGGTTTTCGAACGGTTTTGGGAGTCGAATGGACTCCTGGAACGGATTAAGTTCGAGAACCAAGGTACGACTGCACATGGAACTAGTGGCGCGTGGGGAAATAGTGCGGAAAGGTCAGGGTCCCCGCATGCTCTGAAACTCCTTGCCTCGCTCGCGTGAGGAAAAGTGTGGCAAATGTACAATCTCAGCTTGAAAGATTCTTACACAAAGGCCCCACTGAGGTTACTGCCCTGCCCATCACAGACCTCCGGAAGCCGATAGAGCTTCATGGTGCGTTGCATAGTCATGTTCCTGCTCAGGTGGGAAAACTTTACTTCAATCAGCTTGCGCGGATTCAGGGACCGGTGCCAGTACCTGCCGGAAAGAGGAGCCTTCCTGGTTAGACATCCCACTTGGATCCCATCATTCCTCCACGGAAGCCTTAGTAACTTGAGGCCTAACTCAGTATCGCCCCAAAGTGGAGGTACGTTTTACTCCTAGGCCCAGAAAGGTACACACACACACTCAATCAATCAATCAATCATCTTGCCAGAACAATGGCTGAAACTCTTCTTGCAGGAAAGCCCTATTATTTATTTCCCGGCATCCCTCTTCCCCCTGTTATCCAGTCAGTCAGGGGTTAGAGATGGAGCCCTGCTCTCTGGGCAGTGGTGATACTTCTAGGATCTCCCTTGCCTATCGCAGCTGCAGCACGAGTATCATGGGAAGAGGAGACTTGAAGGTGCGTGTGGCGATCACACACAGGGCCCCCGGATGTTTGACGGTCTACTGACCCTGTGCCGCCACTGCAATTGCTTTTTCCGCTGCCACCACCCCGTATCTCACGGGGACACACGGAGTCCAGTCAGTTGTTAACAAACAAATAATCAAGTTTATTTTTTAAATGCAGGAACAAGCTTATGGTTACAGTTAATTTTACTTGGCAGTTTCTTATTCTTAGTTCCTAACAACTCCAAACTGATTATTCCAACTATCTATCTGACTCCACCTCACAATTCCTCTCACTCTCTCACAATACAACTCTACTAACCCACACCTAAACCTCCCTCTTCCTTCTTCAACTCCCAAGCCTCAACTCTCAACTCAACTGACTTTCAAAACCTCCCACTCTAACTTTTATTTCCCCCCTCCTTGCATTCTCACTGGCCAATCACATCACACCCATTTTAACCCTTTCCTTATGACCCATCCTAGGAGGCAAATGCCACAGTGCGTTTGACAGGTTTGGCAAAAGACAGGATGCTATTGGGGAGCTGACATGAGGGAAAGAACTGTGGAACTCAGAAGCCACCTTTGAGGAGAAAAAAGTAAAGCCGAGGTAAGACACCTTGACACTTGAGGTTCAGGTGGCCTCAGTGGCCCGGAGTGCCTTCCATCAGCTTCGGCTGGTGGCCCAGCTATGCCCCATTTGGACAGGGATAGCCTAACTGCTGTTGTCCATGTTCTGGTAACCTCAAGGTTAGATTACTGCAATGCGTTATACGTAGGGCTGCCTCTGAAGACTGTTTGGAAACTTCAGGTGGTGCAGAATTCAGCAGCCAGGCTGCTCACCAGAACATTACGATTTGAGCATATTACACTGATCCTGGTTCGACTGCACTGGCTACCAATTAGTTTCCAGGCCCAATTCAAAGTGCTGGTTTTGACCTATAAAGCCTTAAACAGCTTAGGACCGCAATAGCTCAAGGACAGTCTCTTCCCATATGAATCTACCCGGACCCTGCAAGCATCATTTGAGGCCCTCGTTCGTGTGCCTCCCCCTTGAGAGGTCCGGAGGGTGGTAACATGAGAACGGGGCCTTCTCTGCAGTGGCTCCCTGTCTGTGGAATGCTCTCCCCAGGGAAGTTGGCCTGGCGCCTTCATTATTTAGACCTCTAGGCGCCAGACAAAAACGTTCCTTTTTAACCAGGCCTTTGCTTGACCTAATCAACATCCCATACTGTGATCTTTTTTGTGAACCGCCCTGAGACCTCTGGGTATAGGGCGGCATATAAATTCAATAACGAAATGAAATGACACTCACCTACAGGTACCAACAGGCTTTGGCAGTACCACACCGGCAGTGTAAACAGCCTGGAAAATCCCCTCCAAGTGGACCCGTCGGGTGATCTCCCGGATCAGCACAGGGGCCACCCGCTTGGAACGCAGTTTCTTGTGCACACAAAGGAAGTTTATTTCTACCATCTTCTTTTCCCTTCAGAGGAAGAGAAAGACAACAACTCTGAAGAACAGTTTCTCTGTCACATTTTGAAAAGCGATCTGAAGGAGAGCAGGAAAGGCTGTCCTGGATTTATTAAGTCTTTTTAAAAAAAAAAAAATTATTCATTTTACAATACAAAAATATAAAAACACATAACACAATTTTTCACAAATACATTTTTTGGAGTTTCCTCAGCTCTTCTGCAAATCCTCCGTTTTAGCTGGATTTATTAAGTCTCATATCCACGCTGAAGTCCCTATCATCACCCACACACTGTTTCTCTGTGCATACACCAATTTACTAGGCTGTTTTCAGGCAGTACTATTCAGTCAATATTCTACCTCACCCACATCCTGTTATTATAGAGGCCTGCAGAGCCCCAGAAGATCCCAGCCGCTACGTAACTTGCAGCACGAGAGGTGTTGGGGTTCAAGCCTGGTTGACTTGTTCCACGCGACTTTTTTGCAGCACAAAATTAAAAAAGCACTCTGCACACGCCCAAAGGTCCCCTGCACATCTGAAAGGTTACAGAGCGGAAACAGTGAAAAATGGCTCCAGCTCAAATTGAAACCTTTTCTTTAATCCACAAAGGGCATCCAAAGTCAAGAGATAGAAGTGTGTGGCTTGACTTACGTGTCATATATGTGTATAGCAGCCGGGATAGCACTGATGAAGCCAACCAGCTTCTTGCTGGAAATGACTCTCACACCACAGTGCCACTGGGGCAGCCAGCCTGGAGGACGCAAAGCCCTGAAAGAAACACAGGGTCTCGTCAAAGACATCTTGATCCAAAAGCCCACATGAGATCGCTACTGAAGCGCAGGGCGCTTTGCCAAGTAATAAGCCCGGGGGAAACCTCTTCAAGAGGCCCTGCAGTCCAGGCAGGTAATACTGAAATGGCAGATACACTTAGCATGGCAGTATAAAGCAGGTGATGGGGAAACTGTGGCCCTTGAGATGCTGTGGGACTCCAACTCCCATCAGTCCCACCAGCATGGCCAATGGTCCGATATAGCTTGGTGGGAAGATTTATCTCAGTCTGTGGGTTCGAGCCCTATGGTGGGCAAAAGTTTCCTGCATTGGACTAGATGACTCCCATGGTCCTTTCCAACTCTGCAACTCTATAATTCTGTGATGGGTATTAAGAGTCCAGCAATATCTCGAGGGTCACAGGTCCCCTCTACCGTGGCCTACAGTCGTACCTTGGTTTTTGAACAGCTTAGTTCCCAAACATTTTGGCTCCTGAACGCCGCAAACCCAGAAGTGACTGTTACAGTTTGCGAACTATTTTTGGAAGCTGAACATCTGACAGGGCTTCCGATTGGCTGCAGGAGCTTCCTGCAGCCAAACATAAGCCGCGCTTTGGTTTTCGAATGTTTTGGAAGTCAGACTTCCGGAACGGATTCCATTCGACTTTCAAGGTACGAAAGGCAGATCGTCACACAATGAAAAAGTCAAAGTTTCCAGCTGCAAGTTTCATGGCTTTACGGATAGGCTTGGCAGTATATATGCCCAGTAAAATTTCAGAACTGGGGTAGCTGGGGAAGAAGAAAACAAGACTCCTAGTGGCCAGGAGATGGCAGACTGCATAACAGCACAGTAGAACACATGACCCAAGCATGCTTAATTTGTATAAATTGCAGAGGCTGCAGAATTGTCTTGGTATGGCGGTGTGCCCTTTGGAGAGAAACTCTCTTCATCTATCACTATTTTGACTCAGTGGCTGACAACGATTGACTCCATGAGTTCCAGCTTACCCCACACATATGTACCCACATTACATATGTTCCCTGTTTCTACTGTTTCCAACTGAAACTATCAGAACAGAAGCAGGCATAGAATCGTAGAGCTGGAAGGCACCCTGAGGCTCATCATCCAACCCCTTGCAATGCAGGAATATGCAGGTGGCCCATATGGGGATCGAACCCACAACCTTGGCGTTATCAGAACCACGCTTTAGCCAATTGAGCTAACAGGTGCCCCCTGACCCTTGGAAAAGGGGGATTTACATATGGGGTAGCAGTGACCCATGTTGGGCAAGTCAAGACCTTGGGTCAATATTTTAGTTTTTTCAGCATAAGGAGACAGTTTTCATTTTTATGTATTAATTTTTTACAGATGGAGACCACCGCAGAGAAATTCAGACGGACCCTTAACTCACCACAGGAGGAACTCTGGTGAATAATCAAACCGGAACATGTTGTCGTCATCTTCCACGTAGTTCTCATTCAGGAGAGTGTACAGCTCTTTGAGCTGAAGAAACCAAGAGAGAAAAGCATAATCTGCTTAAGGAAGCAAAGCTGCCTCTTAAGAGAACAGAGTTATCCGAAAGGACACTTGTGGCGAGAATTATTAGAGAGCCACTGCAGGGGAAACTAGCAGCACATTAAAATAGCTTTAGACATAGACTGGGAAAGACCCGACTTCAACTTCTACTTGTAGTTCATATCTTCTCAATCGCCTACCAGCAGAAGAATCTTAAGGACCTCCCTAACAACTACCCTGCGAAGTACTGACACAACAAAAATTGCTACACAATGACAAAGTAGTTTAAGGGGACAGGTGTGTCTTGGCTGCAATGTACCAAACATTTTTTTTAAAATGAGACTGGGACAAAAAGGCTGCGTTCACACACAATGCTCAACTGTGATTTAGCAGCTAGGGGGGTGATTTTGTTTTAAGCTACGATTCTTGGTCTGTGTGACACAACAAGCTGTAACTTGCTGACAGCGAAACCAAACCCCTGCAAAGTTTCACAACAATCCAACTTCAAGACAAGGGTTATGTAATCGGCTTGTTTAACTAGCCAGTTTGTTTTCAGCCAGGATTCCCGACTCATATGACAGGAAGTTGCTAACCTTCTTGCAAAGCAAAACCCATCTCTGGGTACAAGTCCTTTCCCTGGCTGCATAGTGGCAGGAGAGGGGAGACTGCAAAGCCCAATGCTTTGCTCAGGCTTGCTACAACTCATCCAAGTAACATCAAACCATTGTTGATGTACGAGTGTAGTCTTGAGTCTCAAACCAGTAACAGAGGGCCAGTTTTTAAGAGATAAAAAGATCAGGTCAATGTTACAAAAAAACAAAGTGTTATGAAATTGTGCGCATGTTTTAAATGATATATGTAAATGTTTATATCAATAATAACATCTTTAAAAGGTAAATGAGTCAATAAAAATTGACTCTTAAAGTGCTGGTAGTCTCTACATGATCAGCAGGAAAGGTTTTGGGCCACGCGGAAAAACTATGGCACAAACAAGGGCAAAATGAAGAGAAGTGGACAAGGCAGAACAATGCAGAGATGCAGGAAGAGATCCAGTTGACTCAAGCCAGCCAGCCAAGCTTAAAGCTATGAGATTAATCCTATGACAAACTTTACCCGCACAAAAACCTAGCTGGTTTTCAGGAGGAATCTCTGGGCAAAGGGAGAGAAAGAAAGAGGAACAGCGGCATGCTCAAAATGAAGACACCAGAAGAAAAGCCAAACACGGAATGGACAGGGAAAGAAGAGAAATATGGATCATCTAGCGAAGCTGTGGAAAGCCTTAAAATGCAAGTGGTCAGAATCCTGAGATGGAACAACTGGACGCTATGGTAGCAATGGGGCAGGTTGGTGGAGATGGTTTAGAGGAGAACCTTCTAGGATGGTTAGTTCTGCTGCATCCCTACTCACCACACCTCGATCCCCCAAGTCCAGAGCATCCCACATAAAACCCTGAGGCAAAGTGTAGGGCTCCTGGCGGATGTTGTCCTTGTCTGGTTCAACGGGTCCGTGAGTGTTCACTACTTCTCCTGAGAATGGGTGGAGAAAGAGAGAGGATTGCTGTCATGCATGACAAATAATTACTGAAGGGACCTTCCTAGCCCTCCACATGCGTTAGCACAGTTTCCTGGGCAACTCCAGCCTCCAGACCCCCAATTCTTCCAGGTCCCATATGCTTCTGTCCAAGAGAACTAGTAAGATCCCGTCTGCAGCATTGCTGCAAGGGCCCACATTCTCTGATTCCCCAACCTACCTGCAATCCCATTTCTGGGACTGAAACATCACACAGCTTGACCACTCACACAATTTACACAGTTTCTTGAGGTTTGGGGAATGCACAAGATGTTGGGGACTGCTGAACCATTGCCCAAATTGGCATAGTAACAGGCTGGAAAGATCTCTCCAATGTTTTGAGACTATTTAAAGCCAGCCAGATAGAAGAAAAAGAGGAAAGGAGAAGATTATGTACCTAATTTGGGGACTGGCTGTGTGTCCCAGAACTGATAGCTGCGTTTGGTGGCTTCTTCCATTGTCTTGGCAGGTCCTTGTCCTACGGAGAACAGCTCAATGGCCTTTTGAATCTCCTGCATTCTTTCTGCTGGCAAGGTCACCTGCAAAGACACCAAAGGCACAATGAGTCAACTGACCACCACGTCCTACTTTCCCCCCTCCCTGAAAGTTTAAAATTTTGGAGAGGACATTCTCCTGCTACCCCTTAAAACCATTGAACATTCAAAGCCTACACTGCCCTCCACCCCCACCATTCCTCATCTACCCGCACTGAAAACAGAACAAATGTAAATGCAACAATGTAGGTCAACCAGTCCCCATAGAACTTCCCCTGCATATATCCCCACCAGCCTTTCCTAATTTAACTTTATGGGTACCCAAAAAAGAACACAGTATAGGGAACGGGAGGCTCAGGGAGTGGAAGAGAACATGAGGATGGTTCAACATGACCAACCTGTTGCAAAATATTTTTGCTTTTTACCTTTACTGTCTGATCTTGGGCTGAATCAACTTGATCCGACTTTTCCTTCTTCCGCTTCTGTTTCTTTTTCTTCTTTTTCCCCCCACTGTCATCAGCTGGGCTTAAGCCACTGAGGAAGAAATGAAACACGACTGATGGGACTTTACAGATCAACTGCTAAGAGCAGGGCTTGAAGGGAGCTGGGGCCGGGTGCCAAGGTCACAGTTTGCTTCTGCGTGGTCTCTTTTGACCAATACACCTTGGGGAAACTCACTCTTTCAAGCTAGCTCCTTAGTGGATGTACGGGAAGAAAGAAACCACTGCTCTGACTCCTTCCGTCTTGCAAGGCTGGAACCCCAAATTATACAGACTAAATTGCATGGAATAAATGTGTGCGCTTTACACAATCTGTAGCTTCTTGTGGTGTAGGGGAAGGAGGGTATCTCTGTGTTCCAGTTTTGCAAGGAATTGGGAAAGAAGGGTTGACTGCAGTATGTGACACGACTCATTTGCTCAAGTTACCTGAGGCGACCAGGTCTTCTGCAATTTTGCCTCGGCCCAATTTTTCCACCTTAATGAGACTTTATTGAACTGCTTGTGTGAGAAGCCCTGACAATACTGCACCAGCACTGACTAGTTATAACACAGTTATGGACTATCCACATAGCACAATATGCACACTCTTAGCTTGTAACTCCTATCTAATTTAGCACAATGCTGGCTGCTGCAAAGACGAAAGACAATATACCTTGAGCATTCTTTGCAATCCCGTTTTTTTGCCTAAACTGCAAAGTAATCCTCTAGCACGCGATCTGTCGCTCTTCTTAATCACTGTTTTGTTATTGTGGATTAAAATAATATATTGGCCTTGTTTTCAGGGAAAAGGAAGGTATCAAAATTAAAATAAGTTCCCTGTACCCACAATGCACCCACTCTCCCACACCACAAATATCTTTCCATGGAGGAACATATGATGTGCCGCCATGGAACACTGGTTCGAAATGTCCCCCTACGTGAATCTGCATGCCTGCCATGGAAATTCTGTGTGCTGCATATGATTCTGGGGTATCTTCCAAGTGAGTGCTCTCTGTCAGCACAGGGTGTCAGCAAAATCTACTGAGCCTCACTGCAGCCCTGCACAAGCCAAGTGCACAAACCAGACAGCATTCTCTATTAGTAGTGTGCAAGCTGTTTGTTAATGGCTGGCAAACCCAAACAAGTAGCAAAAGTTGGCTTTAGGTCCAAGATAAGAGCTTCTCTCACAACTTTAAATCCTAATGGAAGCCACCAAGGAGCTGCTGCAGAACCCGTCTGTTGGAAAAAGATTCTGGGGATGGAGGAATATTTTATGTGGAGCCATGCCTCTTGGGCTTTGCTACTGCTCAGTATGAAATTTTACCCCCTCCCCATTCATCTTTGTGGTAGTACATTGCACAACACACTGACAGACAACCTGTTTTTTTAGGGAAGTTTATTTTGTTTTGTTCATTGAGTATATTTATATCCCGCCTTTCTTTCATTGTGGAATCTAAGGCAGCATAAATTTCCTTTTATTAATCATGCATAAGTTGCTAAGGAATTCCAGGATTCTATAGAACAAAGGCTGAAAGTCATTCTTTGAATCTAACTTCCTCTAAAACAGGAAAACAATCAATGACATGATTGAAGCACCCCAGACAGATATTTGCATGGCTTCAACTATAAAACCATTATGCTATAACTTCTCTGGGTTGCTTGCTGCCTGATGACTGGCTCTTCAGATTATGAAGTTCTAATGTTAAGCTAAAATCTACATCCTTGCAATGTAACACTCATTGCTTCACATCAGAGACTTCTGTGCTCCAGTGTTTCACAGTGACTGCTGAGCCATGCTACGTCAAATGTAGGTGCTTCTAAGTCCTACTTGGCAAATCTACAGCTAATACTTACAGCAAGTAATCTTTTCAGAAACCAGAGGGATAAGTCTGGACTAGATATTAAGGAATCTCGGCGTAGTGTGGTCATGCATTGCAGTGGAACCAAATAGAGAATCAGACTGCAGCATAAAGCTATTTTAGCACAGACTAATCACATTCTGTACAGTTTTGCACACAATAAGTTTTACACACAATTGCCATTCATGTCACAGTTGCCAGAGAATCTCACAAATCTCCTGCAATGCAAATGCTCACACACTCAAAAATGTGATGCTCACTGGTTATTAGTACAGGAGCAATGATCCTACTGAGACAGCAGTGAAAATACTATGTTTCTCAGTGGCAAATAAAGTACTCCACGACAAAGTACTGTAAGTGTTCATCTGAACAGGAAAATACATGCTCAACAGATTAATCTAATTTAATAGATATATTTCCACCACCTGAATTTTAAGTGGCTCTCATCTTTCATACATACAGGGTCAATTCAGTCTTCAAAACAAACCATGGTTAAGAATTATGAGGCTCATCCACAATGAGCACATGCAGGCTCCTTAGATGGTGTCTGGCAAACTCTGATAGGCAGCGTGAAGCCTCCCTTCACAGCTGAGAGATCCCCACGCAAGTAGGAGTTGGGAGGCTGCTCTGATAGGCAGCATGAAGTCTCCCTTCACAGCTTAGTTGCTGGGGTCAGGGAAGTGGAATTCCCTGCCCCAAGTGGAATTAAGAGAAAAGAGACAGACAGACTTTTCAGCTGCAGTGCTGTATCTTGTGCCCCAGATCTGGCAAGACAACCATAAAGCTAGAAGGCTCTTCTCTAAACCCTTAGTAGGGTCCTTCCCAAGCCAACTCACCTCCACCAGACAGCTAAGCCACAAGGTCGCATTGTGCACCACTAGTTGAGGGCAAAGCAAACCAGGTTCCTCCATCAAGAGTGGATAGTTCCAGTTTACTGAAAGAAGCAAAACCAAACAAGCAGCACACACCCAAAATAGAAAGGCAAAGAAGATCCACACAGCCCCCACGCCTGGGTCACAAGATAGTGGGAGCCATGGAAGCAATGCTTTAAGAGCCCCAAGTGCATGCCCATGTTGTGATATCACAATCTACATCAGCAACTGAAGTCCTTGATTCAAATGTGCCCTTTCCAATGCATTCACAAAGACTTAGGCAGGCCCCTCTACAAAATTGGAATAATAAAACCTACCTTACATGAGCTGCTGTAAGGATTTTAAAAAGGAAGTGACTTTAATATCTAAAAAGCACTTTCAACCCAAAAGTGCTTTTAATACAATTAAAACTAGGGGGGGGGGACTATACACATGCTAAGTATTGTTTTTATCGAAACACTTCCAGAATCTTCCTTAACTCTTACCGTATCATGTAAGAAACAAAAATTGCTTTCTGGGCCCAATTCAAAGCCTTAAACGGCTCAGGACAGCAATACCTCAAGGACTGCCTCTTCCCATATGAACCTACCAGGTTCCTGAGATCATCTTCTGAGGCCCTCCTTCGTGTGCCTCCTCCTTGAGAGGTCCAGAGGGTGGCAACACGAGAACGGGCCTTCTCTGAAGTGGCTCCCCATCTGTGGAATGCCTTCCCCAGGGAAGTTCGCCTGGTGCCTTCATTATACACCTTTAGGCACCAGGCAAAAACATTCCTTTTTAACTAGGTATTTGGTTGATCTTATTGACATCCAATACTCTTTTAGAATGTGGCTCTTTTTTGGGTTTTTTACTGGGCTATTGTTTTTAATTTGATTTTATATATTATGATTTCGTTTGTGAATCGCCCTGAGATCTCCAGGTATAGGGTGGTGTATAAATCCAATAAATAATAATAACTATCTCAAAACCCACAGTTCAGCAGCTTCCACAGATTCCCACAGTACGCTGAAGGAAGCCATTACTTTGTAGATCTGGATTATGGGTGCTACACCACATCAAACCAGAACATGGAATATGAACCAAGAGGCAAGCCAAACCAGACTGATTAAGCCAGGATAGCCTCACATGCATATTCCCACTGTGGCAGTGGTACCTCCGGTTGCGAACGGGATCCATTCTGGAGGTCAGGCCGCATCCCAATGAATTCACAACTGGAGGTGCCGCTTCTGCGTATGGTTTAGCACTTCTGTGCATGCACTGCGCATGCGGTGAAACCCGGAAAAATACTTCCGGGTTTGCTGCGTACGTACCCCGAAGGATACGTAACTGGAGGTGAACGCAACTAGAGGTACCACTGTATGTGATTGATAATAGTGACAATGAGGAAACAGTTTTGGCTGGGTCATCTAAAAACAGACACACTTTAAATGACTGAAGGTCCGTCCACAAACCAGTGACACCTATTGCAGAGATGAAAGAACCCAAAAAAACTCAACTTTTCAGGCAAGAAGCCTCTAGAAAGATGAGCCAAGTGCCGCAGCTATTGCTTCAAAGGCATTTATTCCTCCCTCTGTCAACCACCTACTTGTGTAACAGGGATGTCGTACCGCCCCCCAAGTTCTAAGCAAACTTTGCAACAAAGGAGTGGAAAATATGCACAAGCTGCTTTGTTACCTGCCCCAGCAGGGGAGAAAGAACAAATCATTTAATTAGATATAAAAGAGTACTGTAAGTGTTCATCTGAACAGGAAAATACATGCTCAACAGATTAATCTAATTCGATAGCTACATTTCCACCACCTGAATTTTAAGTGGTTCTCATCTTTCATACATACAGGGTCAATTCAGCCTTCAAAACAAACTGTGGTTAAGAGGCTCATTCACAATGAGCACATGCACGCTCCTTAGATGATATTTAGGGGTTATTTAGATATAGAAGAGCTGTTTCAAGTCATAGAGTGCAAAAACAGCTTTTCCCTATACATACTGTATTTTTCGCCCTATAGGACGCACTTTTCCCCCTCCAAAAATGAAGGGGAAATGTGTGTGCGTCCTATGGGGCGAATGCAGGCTTTCGCTGAAGCCTGGAGAGCGAGAGGGGTCAGTGCGCACCAACCCCTCTGGCTCTCCAGGCTTCAGGAAGCTCTCCGCAAGCCTGGGGAGCCCGGCGCGAAGTCGTGCAGCTCTCCCACAGCTTGCGGAGAGCTGCCTGCATCCCGAAGCCTGGGGCGGAGAGCTGCCTGCAGGCTTCGGGCTTCGCGCAGCTCTCCGCAAGCTGTCGGAGAGCTGCGCAACTTCGGGCAGATATCCGCAAGCCTGGGGAGACCAGCACGACTTCCTGCCGGGCTCCCTAGGCTTGCGGATAGCAGCCTGTTCTGGGGGCTGGGGAAGCTCGGGCTTCCCCCGCACCTGGGGGGGAAATAAATTTTTTTTCTTTATTTCCCCCACAAAAAAACTAGGTGCGCCCTATGGGGCGAAAAATACGGTAACAAACCTTTTTCCTCAAGTGTATCAAAGAAAACTAGAAGTACACAGCAAGACACTGGCTGGTTTGACTGTATGTACAGTGGTACCTCGGGTTAAGTACTTAATTCGTTCTGGAGGTCCGTTCTTAACCTGAAACTGTTCTTAACCTGAAGCACCACTTTAGCTAATGGGGCCTCCTGCTGCCGCTGCACAATTTCTGTTTTCATCCTGAAGCAAAGTTCTTAACCCGAGGTACTACTTCTGTAACCTGAAGTGTATGTAACCCGAGGTACCACTGTACTCTTGTAACACTCTAACTGATTATTTTTTCTTGACAATCTGGATCTAACTCAGGCCTATGGTAAATGAAAATAGCCCCCTTAGCTCTTTCACATTTTGCGCCCAGAAACTGTATAAGTGTATGTGGAAGCTACTAACTTTTGAAGACATCATCATCATCTGTCTCCTGTAACAGATAACTGCATTTAAAATGCTTTCCATCCCAGTTTTAGATCAAGCAGTGACCTAGGAAATTTTCTGCCTTTCCCAAAAGCCAACAAGTCAAGTTTGTACTTCGGAGTCTACTCTACAGGCACCTCACAGCAGAATCCTATCCACATCTATTCAGAAGAAAGCCCCACTGAGTCCAATGGGGCTTACTTAATGGCAAGAGCATTACTACTCATGCTAGTAATTCTCAAACCATGTACTGTGACACAATGATTTACAGGGAGAGAAGTGTTAGTGGGTCATCAAAAAAATAAAACTACATAATCAGATGTTCCTGTGAGCCCATAGCACCTGCACACAGGGGAGGCTGCCTTTCCTTTTTTCACCAGGAGTTACACTCAGAACAGTTCCTGCAAGAACACAGGGGATGGGCTTCCTTGATGCAGGCCATCCTTATTCTTTCTTACACCACCAAAACAAACATTTATTGTGACAAGTACGAAAGTGTGCATCTTATTTGAATTCAGAAACGGGTGTGCGCCTCAGCTGTCGTACATTTCCCAAATACTGTTTTAGTCAGTCCTGCTCTGGTTGAGTCACATTATGCTAAGGTCTGGCAAGCCTCTTGTGTGCAGATGTTCTTGTTCTGAGACTGCTAGTGCAGCTAATGACTACTTGGCCTTTTTGAGCCCAAGTTCTATAGTTCTCTATGTAGGTACAACGATCAAAAATAAGCTTAGCAGCAAGGGTGAAGACTTTGAGGAGGAATGGCCATATTCAAATAAATGCTTGTCCATAACATGTCCCTGTTTTCATACTTGTTGAACAAAAAAGGCACTAGATTGATATATCCTGGGAGCAAATCCTGTAAGGTTGGCCTGAAAGCAACTGAGAAACCATTTAGTGCATCACCCTGCCATAAAAGCAGCAGGGTGATTTCAAATACAGTGGTACCTCGGGTTAAGTACTTAATTCGTACCGGAGGCCCGTTCTTAACCTGAACCTGTTCTTAACCTGAAGCACCACTTTAGCTAATGGGGCCTCCCGCTGCTGCTGCGCCACCAGAGCACGATTTCTGTTCTCATCCTGAAGCAAAGTTCTTAACCTGAGGTACTTGTAGTTAGCAGAGTCTGTAATCTGAAGCGTATTTAACCTGCAGCATATGTAACCCGAGGTACCACTGTAAGGATGATTTATGACAGTAACAAAAAAAGAAGATATAAGCAGCTGGTCCTAATTAAGTTTCCCATTGGTACTACATATATTCCCTAATAATGCTACACATTAATTGGTTAGATTACACTACTTAAAAAGGCACATTCATAGGCAGAAATGCTTTTTTTAAAAAATAAGAATGCAGCAGAGGCTTCTCGTTTGGGTTGCAGCTGCCATTTTCGCTTTCGCTCCCTGACCCACCGCCAACCAGGTCCCTGGCGGTGCCCCCCAGCTGGCTTAGCCCTCCAGAGCCTGGGGCAAGTGTATCCGGCTGCCCCCAACAAAGGTTCTTTTAACAGCTTTGTGAGAGGCAGAAATTCAGAATCTCCAGCCAAGGTGTGTGTGGAAATGCAACTCTTGTATTTCTGCCCCTCACCCAGCAGTTTAAAGGCACAGGAACTCGTGGTGTGCAGTAACAGCTTATTTTTTTGGGAGGTAGGGGAGAGGAGAAACCAACCTTATGCTTAGAGCTACAGAATAACATGCATTTTCTATACAATAAAAGCATGCAATAAAAACCGTCCCAGTCTCTCCTTCGCCCAGGCTACACTTTCCCTCAAGCCCACTTCCTTCACATCCACCCTATAACCCCCAAATATCTAGGTCCCGGACCCCTCCCTATGGCGGGTCTCCTTATCCCTCACACGAAACAGGCCCGGCAAACGCTTCGCTTTCGCGGTCACGCCGCTGGTCTGCAACGGGCGAGGAACCAGCGGCTCCCCCTTTCGGACTGGCAGAGCAACCAACCACTCAGGACGCAACCGCCCAGTCGCCTCAGCCAATCAAGAGCCGCACCAAGGGAAAGTGGGCAGGGCAGGTTTTATTTCCCGCCTCTTCTCTCCACCTCCCACCGGACCGCCTCCCCCCCCCCTCCGCCGGCTGTGTCTCAGGGCGGCTCCCCTCACACCAGAGAGTGGAGGCCCGACCCGGACCGGCTCAGAGCCGCTCACCCTCGGTTGCAGTTGTGCTCGTCCTCATTCTCGCAGTCGCTGCAGTGCTGCTGGTCGTTCTCTTCCTCCCCTGACGGCCGCCTCACTGCTGTATCACTGTCGTCCGCCATCTTGGCGAAGGGCAGCCGCGCCGGCTGCCGCGCCTGCGCAAAAGAAGCCGAAGACGGGCCGCGATTGGGCGGCCGGCCGCAAGGAACTTTGGGACTTGTAGTCATCTCTTCGCGGTTCAGGGCGGGAACCGGAAGCGCAGCGCACGTGAACCGCGCTGACGCGGCGGGGGGGGGGGAGCAAACCTTGGTTGCCTGTGCCTTGGTTGTCAATGCTGTACTAGGAGTTGGGAGGTTTCAAGTCTCATGAACGGCGATATGGAAATTTAATTAATAATAACCAGTGCTTTTTCCTGGGGGGACGCATACCCCTAAACATTTTGTGAATTTTTATACTTTTGTCCATTTACTATATTTATTTTTCCTGATTTGAACTATAAAATGGTGGTTTTCCTGGGTAAAAAAAAAGCACTGATAATAATGATAATAATAGACCCTTCAGGCAGGAAAACCCCAAATGTGACAATAATAATAATAACAACAATATAATTTATTATTTGTACCCCGCTCATCTGGCTGTGTTTCCCCAGCCACTCTGGGCAGCTTCCACAAAGACCAAAAATACACTAAGATGTGACACATTAATAATAATAAACCCTTAAGTGGGAGAATACAAATGTAACTGTAGGGTGGTGCCTTTATCAACCCCCTTGCAATGCCGGAATCTCATTTAAGTTGGTTCTGGAGCAGCAGCAAACAAGCTTGCTCCCTCTTTCATGTGACAACTCTTCAAATATTTGAAGATGGCTAGCACATCTCCTTTAAGTCTTCTCCAGGCTAAACATACTCGACTCCCTCAACCGTTTCTCATAAGGCTTGGATTCCCAATCCTTATAGATTCACAGATTCCAAGAATTGTAGAGTTGGAAGGGACCATAAGGATCACCTAGTCCAGTTCCTTACAATGCAGGAATATTTTTGCCCAACATGGGGTTCGAACCCACAACCTGAGATTAAGAGTCTTGTGCTGTACCAACTGAGCTATCATATGGGTCACCCTCCTCTGCACAAGTTCCAAATATAGTGTTAATTAAACTTTTTGGGTTCAGTGTCTCCTAGACTTTTTGGATAACCACCAAAAATGGATGCTACTGAAGCCAATTTTTTTTGCTATCAGATTTAGCAAATTGGTATCAAATAAAATATCAGTTATGAATATGTGATTCTATTTCTGCCTTGGCTGGCAGCTGTTCTCCAGAGCCTCACAGAGCCTCCAATCACCTAAAATCCTCTTTTAACAGAAGCTGCAAGGGATTGAATATAGGGTTTCTATTGCAGTACATGTTTATACCTCCTTCACTCAGGGGAGCAACAAGCAGAACTTATGTCCCAGGGAGAGCACAACAATTTCTGTGAGGTTTGGCTGAGTGAAGGTCATCCTGTTGAGTAGATATTTAAACCCGATTTCCCCAGCCAAAGTCCATCAACATTCAAGACACAACTACACTAACTAATCTACTTGGGGCAGCGAGGGAACTAGGTGTTTTTGTGTTTGTTTTCAAGTAAGTTGTCCCAAAGCAAGAAGGGATAATGTCCCCCACAAGTCTATAGTGTTTTGTTTTGAAGTTAGACACGAGGTGAAAATACAGATTTTTGCATTTCAGGACCTATCAGAAACCACACGGCTCTGCCTTAAATTCTCTCATCAACAATTTTAAATTCAAGAACTGGCAACAATCTTCATTTTACCAGGGGTGGGAGGGCAGTGTGCATTCAAAGGATCTACTCTGCCACAGAACTGTCACCCAGCTGCCTCTGTCGGCTGGGATTTTGTCCCAAAGACTTTCAAGCAACCAGTCGATACTTCTAGTTTATTTATTTAATAAAATTTATATACCGCTTGATTGTCGCGAAAAGCCTCAGAGCGGTTTACAAAAAAATAATAATCGCTTTAAAAATTTGCACCATAATTAAAAACACACAGAGAGTTAGAACCCCAATAGAATAGGGTTTTTTTGTAGTCTTTGTTTGAAATGCATTCCTGTTTCTTGGTTGTAAGCATGATTTCTTTGTGTGTGTGGAAAAGTGGCATATAAATAAAATGTATGAATGAACAGACTCAAACAAGTTAAAATTCATACAGGCTTTCTAAACCTCAAAGCTTGTTTAAATAAGAATGCCTTTAGCAGGCGTCGAAAAAGAATACAGTGAAGGAGCTTCAGTCTTTCTCGCTGGCGAAGAGGAGCAGCTTTAAAACTAGCTTTGACCGCCTGGAAGCCTTTCGAATTCCTTGCCCATTCCTTGCGCTCCTCGCCTCCCTCACCCTCAAATCGCGACACTGGCTTCGCGCTTGGGGAAGCAGAGCCCAACCTCGGTGGCAGCGATTGGTTGGATTTCCCAGCGTGACTTCCCTCTGCCAATAGGAAGTCGGAAAAGTTGGACACGGGTGAAGCCGACGAGAGGGTGGAAAAAGGTCTCAGTCAGCATTTGGTGGCGGAACCGAACTGGTGAGTGTGGGGGTTTTTCGCGAGGATCGGGACCCTTCCTTCGCTGAACCCGGGGGCTGGGAGGGTAGGCATAGCCCATGGGAGAACAAGCTTGTTCGGGTTTATTTCCTGCGCGGCGTACCGAGGGTTTCTGAGAACGTGCAGAGTTCCCGCGCCGCGTTCGCTGTTGAGCCGCCGCAGTCAAGTCACAGCGCCTCTGAGATTAAGTGGAAGGGATTCCAGGGTAGCCAGACAGTTCTATCCTTCAGTGCTCCCCCCCCCTCTCTCTTTTTTAAATAGAAATTTTGGAGGTGTAGGTGGCAGGGGGCTCCACATCTGTGGCAGAAGACAGCAGTGAATTATATTTGTTTTCTCCCGGTTTCTCTGGAGGAATCTCCGTTTTGCAAAACTCCAACCCTGCCTTTCCAAAGTTAAACGACTTATTGCCAGTTTTTGCCCTCTCTCTCTCTTTTAAGAGTCACAGATTTCAAATGCAAAGTCTGTACTGATTAGTAATGATAAGCTGGGATAAATATGAGATACTGGAGGTAGGACACAGTAACAAATTGCAGGCAGCCTGAGCCATGCTCTTGTTAGGACCTAAGGTAAGGTTACCAGACGTCCCTGTTTTCGGGGACAGTCCTCGGATTTGTACAAATCAGTCCCCTGACAAAATCCTATCATTCCTACTGAAGTTGAAAAGTGTCCCCGGATTCATTGAAAAAAATCTGGTAACCTTAAAAGGGTTCCCCTAAATCCCTGTTTAAAAACACAGAGACCTCTCAGGGTCTCTGGCTTTGCCCTGAAATGGTATATTTTGAAACTTCAAATCATATACCTTCTTTCAGCCCATGGCAATTTCAAATTTTAAGACGCTATAGATTTCTCTATGTTTATTATTAACATCATCACACTCCCAAAATAATAGTAATAAAATTTTATTTATATCCCGCCCTCCCCAGCTGAAGCCGGGCTCAGAGCAGCTAACAACAGTAAAATAATACAGCATTCTAAAATCAATTCATTATAAAATCTTATAAAAGAAGATTTCCTGCTGCCGCCACCACCACAAAATTGGCCACAAAATTCACAATCCTACCCTAATGGAAGAGTATTGGTATTTTGCCACCTTTGTAGAAATGGCAAAAGATTCTTGCATTGCAGGGGGTTGAACTAGATGACACTCACAGTCCCTTCCAACTCTACGATTCTATGCTAATCCTTAGGTAATATTTCTGCTTGTTACGGAGGTGTTGTTTTTTACATTATGTGGAAGAAACCATATAATTTGAACCTGGTGATTTAACTCCATGCCCATTGACCAATCCCCCTAATCTTTCATATTTGCCTTGAGAGAGCTTGGGTTTTGACCTTTGAAACTCTAAATGGTTCCGGGTTAAGTTATTAAATAAAGGACTGCCTGTGTCCATATGAAGCTTCTCCTGGATTAAGACCGGCACTGGAGGCCCTACTCAGTGGCTCACCTTTAAGATCCATTTAATTGGACCATTTAACCACATCAGTTAACAAACATGGATACATATGCTATAATGTTATTGTTTTCGTTAAAGAGATTGTTTAAATTGTTATTAAGGAAATGATTATTTTTCTCCTTCCAGTAAAGTACAGCAGAAAAGTTGTCCAAATATAAACAGTTAACTTATTAAACCTCACAATAATTTCATAATTATCTGTCTATGTATTTCTAATAGTATAACCAAATCAGTAATTTTTGATATAACTGTAAAAACTACTCTGAAAATTTATTATTCCAAAAATGAAACCTTCATCTGGTTGTAAATATTAAGATTATACCAGCAAGAACGAGTCTTTCTATAAAAAATGATTTAAATCAAGTCTTACTGATTTGAATCAATGTGATTTAAATCAAATCCACCCTGATAGGATGTTAGGTGGCGAGGTGGGCTGAGGGAAAAGTTGAAGCTCTTCAGAATGAAGTTGACAAATGAGCACAAGCTGAGTTTCACGTTTCTTTTGTCGCTTAATGGTATTTTTTCTTTTCCATCCAGGGCAAGATGTTTCTGGTAGGACTGACAGGTGGCATTGCGTCAGGGAAAAGTACGGTGGTTGCTATGCTGCGGGAACTGGGCTGCGCTGTTATTGATGCTGATGTTATAGCCCGACAAGGTGAGGCAGCCTGTGCTCCTTGGTATGAGGGTGAACAGAAGATGCACTTTTGCTCTCCAGTAGACCGCTGGCCAGAGGCAATAGATCCTCCAGGATCCCCAAGGGAGTTGTTGTTGGGCCTGCTCTTGGGTTCTCGGCCTGGATCCATTTGTGGGATAAAAATGAGACAAATAAATAGATTCCAGGCCAATGAAGAAGAGTTTGGATTTGATATCCCACCTTTCACTCCCTTTAAGGAGTCTCAACGTGGCTAACATTCTCCTTTCCCTTTCTCCCCCACAACAAACACTCTGTGAGGTGAGTGGGGCTGAGAGACTTCAAGGAAGTGTGACTGGCCCAAGGTCACCCAGCAGCTGCATGTGGAGGAGCGGGGAAGCGAACCCGGTTCACCAGATTACAAGACTACCACTCTCAACCACTACACCACACTGGCTCTCAATGCCGCTTTCCATTCAGTCTTCCAGCTGTCTTGGGGCCTACCCACATACTGGTTTTCTTCCTCAAAAAGAAGCTGCTGAGGAAGAATAGAGGGTTAATTTGGATTAGGCCTGCAGCACTGGGGAAAAGGTAAAGGGGCCCCTGACCGTTAGGTCCAGTCGTGGCCGACTCGGGGGTTGCGGCGCTCATCTCGCTTTATTGGCCAAGGGAGCCGGCGTACAGCTTCCAGGTCATGTGGCCAGCAGGACTAAGCCGCTTCTGGCAAATCAGAGCAGCACACGGAAACGCCGTTTACCTTCCCGCCGGAGCGGTACCTATTTATCTACTTGCACTTCGACATGCTTTCGACCTGCTAGGTTGGCAGGAGCAGGGACTGAGCAATGGGGGCTCAACCCGTCAATGGGATTCGAACCGCCGACCTTCTGATCAGCAAGTCCTAGGCTCTGTGGTTTAACGCACAGCGCCACCCGTGTCCCCAGCAGCACTGGGGAACTGGGCTTAATTATTTACTTAAGCCAGGGGTCAGCAAACTTTTTCAGCAGGGGGCCGGTCCACTGTCCCTCAGACCTTATGGGGGGGGTCGGACTATATTTTGAAGGGAAAAAATGAACGAATTCCTATGCCCCACAAATAACCCAGAGATGCATTTTAAATAAAAGCACACAGTCTACTCATGTAAAAACACGCTGATTCCCGGACCATTCGCAGGCCGGATTTAGAAGGCGATTGGGCCGGATCCAGCCCCCGGGCCTTAGTTTGCCTACCCATGGCTTAAGCCAGGCTTCCTCAACCTTGGCCCTCCAGATGTTTTGAGACTACAATTCCCATCATTCCTGACCACTGGTCCTGCTAGCTAGGGATCATGGGAGTTGTAGGCCAAAAACGTCTGGAGGGCCGAGGTTGAGGAAGCCTGGCTTAAGTGCTACAGCCCTGATGCCAACACCCCACCCCCGAGAGGCTCTGTTAACCTAGAAAAACTATATCCGCAGAAACTATGTACCTGTACGTGCAATGAAAACTCAGACCCCATCCTCTCCACCAATTGCCTTTTGAAGAGCAAAATAAAACTACGTCGGGAGTTTTAAATCACGGAACTGTAATGTAATATGCTTGTGAGCTTCTAAACTTATTTGACTCACTGCTGCTGGAAAGACAGAATGCTGATCTACTGCTCTGTCCCGATAGAGCAGATCTTGTGCGCTTGTTTGTTAGCCTATGGATTGCTGCTGGAGGCAGGAGCTCTAAATGCGGAAAGCTTGGGAGAGCTCATGTAGCTTTCTGCTTGCGAGGAAGAGAAGCTGTGTTCGTCTCATCCCTCCATCGACAGCACTTGGAACCTGTCTCTTTGCCAGTTGGAGGACCTCTGCAAATAGTTTGGGCCAGTTGAAGCTAGGGGTGCTGTGGATTCTGATGCCAGCTGACCTGCAATTGCTGGACTAATGTGCAGCTCAGAATGTGGTTATCTGTCAGATTTCACACATCTCCAGATTTCTCGGCCCAAGAAAAGAAAAGGCACAGTCTGCATTATAAATGCACATGTTGTTGTTGTTTAGTCGTTTAGTCGTGTCCAACTCTTCGTGACCCCATGGACCAGAGCATGCCAGGCACTCCTGTCTTCCACTGCCTCCCGCAGTTTGGTCAAACTCATGCTGGTAGCTTTGAGAACACTGTCCAGCCATCTCGTCCTCTGTCGTCCCCTTCTCCTTGTGCCCTCCATCTTTCCCAACATCAGGGTCTTTTCCAGGGAGTCTTCTCTTCTCATGAGGTGGCCAAAGTATTGGAGCCTCAGCTTCAGATAAATGCACATATTAGGATAGAAACGCATACATCGAGACGCAGTGCATATTCAAATATGTATTTTGTGGTAAAAAGTATATTTTAAATACAAATGTTGCTGCTAGTTTTCCAAAAACAAAATTTGCAAATTAATGGGGAAGTGGGACAGATTGCATTCCAGAATGAGCGTATGTAGGAATTGGCACAAACTGTCTTATCACAAGCAACGCTTCTCGACTTGCAGTTTGTCTCTGCTGTCCCTCTTGTCTCTGATCGAGTTTCCCAGTGACAAAAAATTGAAAGCAACTCTGGTGGAGCCTTAATGTTAACCCCTCTTTCCTCAGTGGTCCAGCCACGCTTCCTGGCATACCAGCGCATTGTGCATTCTTTTGGCCCCGAAATTCTCCTGGAGAGCGGCGAGATCAACCGCGAGGCTCTAGGAAGCATAGTTTTCTCTCAGCCCGAAAAACGTCGGCTGCTGAATTCCATCACTCACCCTGAGATACAGAAGGAGATGGTAAAACAGATCTTGAAATACTTTATGCTGGGTAAGCTACTGGTGAGGTTGATTTTTATTTCATTTTGCGGAATCCTCGAGGCATCGATACACGCTGACAAAAGCTGCACCGTCTCCCTTTGCCCTGCATTTTATTTTATTTTCCTTTACCGGCCAAGAGGGAACGGACTGTAAAAAGGCCTCTGAGCTGCTTCCTTTGTGCCGTGTTTGCGCTCATCCATTCACTGCTTACATCCTGAGGATTCTTCCTTCTTTATCCTTGCCCTTTGCATTTTTGCTCCCTTAACGTTGCCTTTAAAGAGCACACACAAAAGAGTCTTTGGGAAGTATTGTGCATAATGTCACACCTTCAGAAATGCTCGCACGCGCCCCCAGCCCCCCCCCCCCCCACTTTTCCCGGGTGCTCTTATAAAAGCTCTTTTTGAACTCGATAAGGTAAAAGAATGGTTTGACAGCTGGGATTTCGGCAGCGCCTCTCTATTCCCTTTCATTCCTCTGATAACTGTAACAAATACAGCTGACAAATCTGTCTAATCAAGGGCCTGATAATATCGCTGGCTGCTTTGGAGGTCTCGGGGTAGCAGAGAAGGGTCTCCTCACAAGGAGGAACTCATTGAAAGCAGACAGGGTGGGAGGGAGAGCCAGAGCTCTCTGTTTTCCAGTTTCTAAGGCCAATATAACCCCCTTAGATGAGAGGGGAAAGCGTTTAGGGAACTGGGAAAATAGCCTCACTGGTGATCTTGAAAGCTTTGTTCTTCAGAAGACCTAGACTTTTCTGCAAATTAAGGTAATTGGAGTAATTCAACTCCCGTCATTCAAATTAGTGGCAATATTATAAAAGCGGCTCCTTCTCTGAACTGCACACTATAACGCTGGAAGTTCCCTGTGCTTCCACATGTGCTTGCCACATGAAGCCAGAGGAGGGGAATATTCCCTGCTCAGAAAAACGACATCCCGATGCCTTGTTCAGTACATGGATCCTGGTCCAATTTTGTTGTCGCTAAATAATTTTTATTAATTTTCAATTACAAAAATCCAATATGTGCCATATTATATTAACATGAAATAAAGGTAAAGGGACCCCTGACCATTAGGTCCAGTCGTGGCCGACTCTGGGGTTGCAGCACTCATCTCGATTTATTGGCTGAGGGAGCCAGCGTACAGCTTCTGGGTCATGTGGCCAGCATGACTAAGCCGCTTCTGGCGAACCAGAGCAGCGCACGGAAACGCTGTTTACCTTCCTGCCAGAGCGGTACCTATTTATCTACTTGCACTTTGACGTGCTTTCAAACTGCTAGGATGGCAGGAGCAGGGACCGAGCAACGGGAGCTCACCCTGTTGCGGGGATTTGAACCACCAACCTTCTGATCGGCAAGTCCTAGGCTCTGTGGTTTAACCCACAGCACCGCCCGCGTCCCTCTCAAATAAAGGCACCTTTTACCTTAACACCAAATAGCGATACCAGTTAAAATACAAATCAATTACATAGCCAATTATAAATTTTGTGGGGCTTCCCAGTTGCTGTACCTCAGGGTCTGATTCCCTTTAATTCTGCCTCCAGACTGTTGCTCAAACCAAATACAATCCATTCTTGATAAAATCCCTTATACCACCGCTACAAAAATTAACTTCAATTCGCACTGACACATAAAATAATTTGTAAATTCGTAGGTGAAGTTCTCCTTTCTTCTCCTGTGTGAGGTTTTAATTCCCGTCAGTTGTTCCTTTAATTCTTTATCCAATATTATGTCCATATGAGGCCTTCTGGCTTCGTTGACTCGGAGTTATTCTGAAGAAATCTCTCTTTGCTCTCAACTCTTCTGATTGCAACTGTAAAATTCCACTTTCAATTTCAGGCAGGGAGTCACCCAAATTTTACTCCAGAATCTGACAAGGGGATGAAATCGCACAAACTCTTGAGTTTGCAGCGCTTTACACAAAACTCCTTGTGCAGTTTTGTGTGTGTGTGTGTGTGTGTGTGTGTGTGTGTGTGTAATGAATGCTTGCAGTTTCTACAACATTTACGATGCAAAATTCACCTCCCTCCCCTCCGCAGGCCATCGGTATGTGATCCTCGATATCCCGCTCCTTTTTGAAACCAACACGCTGATCAAGTTCATGAAGCACACCGTTCTCGTGTACTGGTAAGGATATTACAGGGAACGATGACGTTATGTCACAATACGAAAGCGCCAGTCGGTCTGATGCAACAAAGGACAGAGGATGCCCATTGGAATGCATTGGCTCCTGAACTGAGTCAGGAATCATAGAATTTAGACTAGAGTCATCTAGTCTAACCCCCTGCAATGCAGGAATCTCAACTAGATCATACATGACAGATGGCCGTCCAAGCTCTGCTTACATGGGATTTGCACGTGACCATTCAGATGAACCAAATCCCTTATAACTGGTTGCTCGTACAGCCGTACTTTGGAAGTCGAACAGAATCCGTTCTAGACATCTGTTCGACTTCCAAAACATTCGGAAACCAAAGCGCAACTTCTGATTGGCTGCAGGAAGCCCCGTCAGACGTTTGGCTTCCAAAAACAGTTCACAGACTGGAACAGTCACTTCCGGGTTTGCGGCATCCGGGAGCTAAAACATTTGAGAACTAAGCTGTTTGAAAACCAAGGTACGACTACTGTACAGTGTTAGAAACTCAGATATATAAGCTAGGTGTCAAATGGCTCCTTAAATCCAGGGTTACAGTCGCCAGAATGAAATGCCTACTTGCCATTTTGGGGGCAGACCCAAAACCTTTGTGCAGATAAAACATAATAGATAGAATTCTACAAGTGTGTGAAAACAGGCAAGAGTTCTCTGGGCATACACCTCCATATGGCGGGAGACATCAGGTACCATCCTGGCGCCCAGGCATCTTTACCTGGTCGCAGGTGGCCAATAGCCAGGTGCAAAATGCGCCTGGCAAATTCTGAACACTGCTTGTGCAGCATTTTTAAGGGCAGTACCAAAAGGGCCACACAGAATGTTGTTGTGCTTCCGAATGGACTGACCCTTGGAATGGGTTGGAGCTCCTGCAAACTTGTGAACAGAGTTGTATAAGAAGTTTATTTCGTAGGGGCCACATTCCTGTCTGGATAATCTTTCAGAGGCCGCAAGCCTCTGATGGGTGAGAATAGAGCCAAAAGTGTCTAGAGCAACAAATGTAACTCTTACCTTTGTGTAACAGGCTAGTATGCGCACACACAAGAGGAACGTTTTCTTCTGGCGCCTAAAGCTATACACACCAGGCAAGCAAGGGGCGTTATCAGAGTTTAAGGACCTGGTCCTGCCATGTAGGAACAATCACAAACCATGCAAAGCAGAACCAGTGATGGGGATGGCCTGGGAAGAGGGGTGTGTGGCTGGGAAGAGACCCAAATTCCAGAGGGAGAGGCCCCTGAGGGGTGCTTTTTGCCCCCAAGCCTGAGGTGTCCCATCCCCAAGTTAGATGGAGAAGGTAAATGTATCTCTTCAGGGAATTAATTGGGGAATTAATTAGCTGTTCCTGTTAAACCACAGAGCCTAGGGCTTGCCGATCAGAAGGTCGACGGTTCGAATCCCCATGACAGGGTAACCTCCCGTTGCTCCTGCCAACCTAGCAGTTCGAAAGCACGTCATAGTGCAAGTAGATAAATAGATACCGCTCCAGCGGGAAGGTAAACAGTGTTTCCATGTGCTACTCTGGTTCGCCAGAAGCGGCTTAGTCGCTTAGTCATGCTGGCCACATGACCCGGAAGCTGTACGCCGGCTCCCTCGGCCAATAAAGCGAGATGAGCGCCGCAGCCCCAGAGTCGGTCACGACTGGACCTAATGGTCAGGGGTCCCTTTACCTATCCTTCGACAGGTTTTTGTGTGTGTGTGTGTTTACCTTTTCCTCAGCAGATTTGCTGGTTGAGGTCTTTGTGCTTCACCCCTCAGAACTCAGCCTTGACAACTGAGCCCACTCTGCTCAGCATGACCCTTCCCACTGATCTCTTCATAGGCCACGTTCACACCCTAAAGCACTATGACACCGCTTGAAACAGTCGTGGCTTCCCCCCCAAAGAATTGTGGGAGCTGTAGTTTGTTAAAGGGTGCAGAGAGTTGTTAGGGGAGACCCCTGTTCCCCTCACAGAAGAAGAAGAAGAAGAAGAAGAAGAAGAAGAAGAAGAAGAAGAAGAAGAGTTTGGATTTGATATCCCGCCTTTCACTCCCCTTCAGGAGTCTCAAAGCGGCTAACATTCTCCTTTCCCTTCCTCCCCCACAACAAACACTCTTTGAGGTGAGTGGGGCTGAGAGACTTCAGAGAAATGTGTCTAGCCCCAGGTTCACCTAGCAGCTGCATATGGAGGAGCGGAGACGCGAACCCGGTTCCCCAGATTACGAGACTACCGCACACAGAGCTACAGTGCTGACTGTTTTAATGGTCAACCCTTCTTCACAGGGAACTCTTGAGAATTGTAGCTCTGTGAGGCATCCAGTTTTTTAAAAAACATATATTTATTTATTAGAATTATATACTGCCACTCATCAAAAGATCTCAGGGCAGTTCACAGAATAAACTACAAGATAAAACGCAAGTAAATAATTAAACCAAAGCAGCAAAACAATAACAGACACATTTAAAAGGCTATGGAATATTAATCAGCCAAAGGCCTGGTTGAAGAGGAACGTTTTCTTCTGGTGCCTAAAGCTATATAATGAAGGCGCCAGGTGAAGCATTCCACAAATGGGGAGCCACTGCAGAAAAGGCCCGTTCTCATGTTGCCACCCTCTGGACCTCTCAGCAAAGTACAGCTCCCAGATTTTTTGGGGGGGAAGAAGCCGTGACTGTTTAAAATGGTACCGTAAGACTTTAAACATATATATGTGTGTGTGTGTGTGTGTGTGTGTGTGTGTGTAAAGGACCCCTGGATGGTTAAGTCCAGTCAAAGGTGACTATGGGGCTGCGGCGCTCATCTCGCTTTCAGGCCGAGGGAGCCGGCGTTTGTCCACAGACAGCTTTCTGGGTCATGTGGCCAGCAGGACTCAACTGCTTCTGGCGCAACGGAACACCATGACAGAAACCAGAGCGCATGAAAACGCCATTTAGCTTCCCACCACAGTGGTACCTATTTATCTACTTGCACTGGTGTGCTTTCGAACTGCTAGGTTGGCAGGAGCTGGAACAGAGCGACGGGAGCTCACCCCGTCGTGGAGGATTCGAACCGCCGACCTTCCGATCGGCAAGCCCAAGAGGCTCACTAGTTTACACCACAGCGCCACCCACATCCCATACATATGGTGTGTATGTGGCCATAGTCTCTCCCTCATTTTCCATGTCTTAGCCGTGCTGGAGTGTGTAAGAGCAGCCGGAATTGACTAGATAGATGGGAGGGGGGTGTACACACACACACACACACACACACACACACACACAGCCCTTTCTGACTTTCTCCCTGAGCTCAGTTCCTCTTCCTTTGCCAAGTGACCCACAGAGCCAGTTGTCCCGCCTGATGCGCCGGAACGGGCTGACCCAGGCGGAGGCCGAAGCGCGCATTGCCGCCCAGCTGCCCCTGGACCAAAAGGTCAAGCTGGCCGGCCACGTCATCGACAACTCAAGAGACGTCGAGACCACGAGGAAGCAGGTCTTGAAGCTGCACTCCTCGTTGGAGGACTCCATGGACTTCCTCCTGGTGCGGCTCCTGGCCCTCACAGCAGCTGCTGGGGTTAGCGGCTTGCTGTATTTCCTACTGCGGCAGCTCATGTCTTAACTTGCCCTTGGTGGTAGTGAAAGGGGAGGTAAGGGAGACCAAACCCTTCTGTTTTGGGAAGGGCAAGAGAAACCCAGGACCTTTCCCTACTTTTTGCAGCCTGAACGACTCAAAAGACCTCCAAAGCCAGGCAGTGAGCCTGTTGTCTTTCCGAACGCCTCTGGAAGTGAAAAGAGGCGCCATTCATTCCAAAGCGGCTCTCGGCTATCTTTGTCCGCGGCTCCCTTGCAAAAGATTTTAGTCGCACCTGAGGATGGAAAGGGGTTGTGGGTGTTGTTAACTAAAGCTGGTAGGAATTTTGGTCTGCTGGGCCGAGGGGCTGTGGGTGGGGACGAAACTTGCTGGCTACTACTGAAGTGTAAAAACGCATCCTATTAAATTTGACATGAGGGTAAGCCCGCAACAAAGTTCCTTTTTTTAAAAAAGAGGTACTGTGCACCTCTTTCCCCTCCTCTCCCTCCCTCCAATATGCTATTGGCTGCATCTTTGAGAACTTCATTTTCAATGGGTCTCCAGGACTGTGGTCAGTATTGAATATTGCTTGCAGGGCACTCAGCCAAAATGCTCTCTGTGGGGAACCGACAAGGAAAAGTCGCTTCTCGGAGGTGTGAAAATACCCTGAGAAGTTGGAGAGGCTGTTCCTTTTTTTTTTCTTCCCCTCTGGAGACTGTTTGGTTACTGCATTTCATTTAACATCAATTTATCTGTATGACTCATACAGCTCAAGCGTTATGTACTACAGTCTTACAATATAGTATTTGTAATTATGAACTGGAGCTTGTGGGGCTCAGCGCCTGGCTTATATTCAAACAAATCATGATGATGATTGTTATTTATGAATCTTGTTATTTATGAATCGTGTCATGTTGAAGCATCTGGAAGCAATCTGCAATGCAATTAAAACCTATATAAAACATTTACCGTATTTTTTGCTCTATAAGACTCACTTTTTCCCTCCCCAAAAGTAAGGGGAAATGTGTGTGCATCTTATGGAGCGAATACAGGCTGCGCAGCTATCCCAGAAGCCAGAACAGCAAGAGGGATCGCTGCGCAGTGAGGTGCGTCTTATGGTCTGGTGCATCTTATAGAGCGAAAAATGCGCAGGGTATGTATATACACACACATGTGCATGCGTGCGCGCACACACACACACACACACACACATAGGTAAAGGGACCCCTGACCATTAGGTCCAGTCATGGCCAACTCTGGGGTTGCGGCGCTCATCTCGCTTTATCGGCCAAGGGAGCTGGCGTACAGCTTCCGGGTCATGTGGCCAGCATGACTAAGTCGCTTCTGGCGAACCAGAACAGCGCACAGAAACACCGGTTACCTTCCCACCAGAGCAGTACCTATTTATCTACTTGCACTTTGACATGCTTTCGAACTGCTAGGTGGCAGGAGCAGGGACCGAGCAACGGGAGCTCACCCCGTCGCGGGGATTCGAACCACCGACCTTCTGATCGGCAAGCCCAAGAGGCTCAGCGGTTTAACCCACAGCGCCACCCGCGTCCCTATGTATATACATACAAAGCAGTTAAAACAATTGCATATATAAAAACACACACATTTAGATAGATACATACACATACATACAAGTGGAAGGGAGCTCTAATGGTCTGCTTATGGCATCATATAGAATGGCCCTCCTGATCGGATGCCCTCTCCTGCAGAAATGCAGTGATTGGTAAGGTGAGATGACTAACACATTCCAAATACGTGGTTTTCAAACTTCTACATTTAGGGAGCCTTTATACTGTGTACTGAGTCCAAGGAGCCTTGCTGCGGTCCCTGCACATAACATATTAGCGCCAATATGCATTGCATGAGAAAATCAGCAAGGATGGAAAAATCTATGGCATCTCTGCACTTTGGAATATTTTTTGAAGTTCTGGTTTTCCCTTCTCAAAAAGCATTGAGGTGGAGGTTTGGAAAAGGGCAGCCGAAATTACCATTCTATGAAGAAAGTTCCCAAGATTTGGGCCTTTTCCATTCAGAAAAAAATGGTGTAACAATACTGTGCAGGGTGGAGAGGGAGAGATTTTTTCCTCTCGTAATGCGGGAACCCAGAGCTATCCAATGGAGGAGAGGCGGGAGAAAGTGCTTCTTTTACACCTTGCATAGTTAAACTGTGGAACTTGCTGCCACAAGATGCAGGCCCGGACGCCAACCTAGATGGCTTTAGAAGCGCTGCAGACAAATTCATGGAGGATAAGGCTATCGATGGCTTGTAGGAGCTCCGGTGACTAGGTGGTACGTCCTGTGACAGAGGTGTGCCTTTGAATCCCAGGCATTGGGGAACACAGTAGGGTAGGGGGCAGCAAGGTTTACTTCGCCTGGGCCGGTTCACTCCAGCGGAGATCCCTCCATGGTCCGGATTAAGCACACGGGCCCGCAATTTTTTGCGCATGCGCGATTTGCCGCGCCGTGGAAGCGAGTCTCCGCACCGTGCTGTGCCAGTTTAGCACAGTGCGCGAGGCGTTGCCGAGTGGGCAGCTCGGTTTGGGGGTGGCTCCTGGGCAAGTTAAACCAGGGGTAGGCAAACTAAGGCCCGGGGGCTGGATGCGGCCCAATCACCTTCTCAATCCGGCCCGTGGATGGTCCGGGAATCAGCGTGTTTTTACATGAGTAGAACGTGTCCTTTTATTTAAAATGCATCTCTGGGTTATTTGTGGGGCCTGCCTGGTGTTTTTACATGAGTAGAATGTGTGCCTCTTCACTCTTGAGATCGGAAGCTGTTCACTCGTCAGGACAGGATAAAAGGAGACCATTGCTCCTGAAGGTTGTCAGCCATTTTGTCTTCTTCAACCAGCTCCGATTACAGGTCACAGTTCCACCAGGACTTTCTCCTGTGAAACGAATGCCAGCTTTGTTGGAGTGCTTTGAGGAAGTTGACAGAAACGGAATTGCTCCAAGGCTGGCTGGGTTTCACATCCTTTCGATATCGATGCCTCCACTTCCGCAAGGGAAAAGCAGAAGGCAGATGTCATCTGTAAATGGCCGGAGGCTTGCAGCCAATATTTTGTTTGGTAAATTCCAACACACGAAAGAAGAAAATCTCTACCCAGCTTCAAATGCACCTCTCTCATTCACCTCTCAATGTCCCTCTTGCCTGCGTCCTTTAAAAAGAAATAAATCATTGATTCTTATTCAAAGGTATACAGAAATACACACCCATTACAAAGTATCTGTGTATAATATATACAGCCACTTAACCTAAAGAGGAAGAAAATACAAGAAAAGGAGAAATCTGAAGAAGGAGAAAGCAAGAGAGAAGGAAAAGAATGAAAAAGCCAAAGAAAGATAAGAGCAAAATAAAAGGACTTCTGGCTCTCTGTAGAATGAATATTATATTCATTCCTTAAGATCCAACCATTCTATCTTCTATGAACCAGTATTTTTTCAGTCTTCAGATCCAGATATTACAAGATCATTTTCTCTTTCACGCGAAAAGCATAAGAAATTTCTAGCCCTTCAGCAATGGTAGTAATGATTTTTCTCTTTATCAGACATATTAGCTCAGCCATCTCCGCCAAGTCCAACAATTTTGCCTGAGTTTATCCTGATTCATGCCTTGGTTATGGCTCTCTCATAGTTTGTTATGTGTGTGATGGTGGGGCACCTGCCCATCAACAAATGTCTGAGCTGACAGCTTCAAATGGTTGGGAGATTTGATTTGCATGATTTCCCTCTCCCGTCACAGGAGAGGGACTGCTTAAGTGGAGCTTTCATGTAAGCAGGTATCACAAGCAGAATGCTTGGCTCAGATGTTCTTGGAAGGGGAGAAGAATATCGCCTCCAGCCCAGTGAACCAGGACTTCCTTTGCCCTACGCAATCTCCAGTCCCTTTTCCTCCTCCTTTAGGCAAGTGCTATGAGTGTTGTTGTTTTTTAAAGAAGAAAAAATAAAACCATTGATTTTCAACAAGACATGCAAAAAGATTACACCAATAAGCACAGTGCCGTGTAGAATATCAGGCAAAGTCTCTCCACAAAGGTGATAAAACAAATATCCAAATGCAAAGTTGATCGATCCAGCAATGTAGAAAGAAGACATATAGTGGACTCTCGGGTTGCGAACGTGATCCGCGCGGGATGCACGCATGGGTTGCCATTCGGCGCTTCTGTGCATGCGCGCCGAAACCTGGACACCCATTCCAGTACTTCCAGGTTTCGGCGGGTCCATAACCCGAAAAAATGCATCCTGAAGTGTCTGTAACCTGAGGTATGATTACTTACAGAAAAGGGGAGAGAAAGCATAAAGACCAAATATATTTGCAGTATATTATTCTTGCCGTGTAAATAATACTATACAGTGGTACCCCGGGTTAAGTACTTAATTTGTTCCGGAGGTCCATACTTAACCTGAAACTGTTCTTAACCTGAAGCACCACTTTAGCTAATGGGGCCTCCTGCTGCCGCCGCACCGCCGGAGCACAATTTCTGTTCTCATCTTGAAGCAAAGTTCTTAACCTGATGCACTATTTCTGGGTTAGCGGAGTCTGTAACCTGAAGCGTATGTAACCTGAAGCGTATGTAACCCGAGGTACCACTGTATATGAGCACCTCTTACACGTTCATGGGAGACAGACACAGAAAGGAAAAATTATTATCGTAACTAAAACCTTGGGAAAGCCCATTCCCCATGGTTGACCAACATAATAAAATGGTACCCAACAGAAAGGAATCTGTCTCTCTTCATTTGACCCCTCAGGACCCTTAGCTGATAAGTCGGTTTTTTCTAAAAGTGCCATTTCCCAAACTTTAGAATACCAGCATGCAACATTAGCACCAGCAAGATCTCTCCAGAACCGGGCTGTTGCAGCTATCGCCGCTGTAAGTAAATGGATGATCAGTTGTTTATTACAAAGATTCTCTTCTCTGTGCGTTAAAGCTTCACTGCCACGTGCGCAAGATTGTACGAGACAAACGGATTCTCCTTTAAAGCTGAGAAACGGTTCTGACATTTCTGGAGCACCCCACAAAGCATGCTGCAGCAGC